CTGCGGGAGGTGCACCTGACGGGGGCCCAGGAAGGCCGGGGAGGACCCGCCACGGCCCGGGGGAGGCAGGAGAGGAGGCAGACAGCTTCCCAAGGAGGGCCCTTCCTCCAGGGTCAGGCTTTATCTACTGGGGTCTGAGGTTCTAAAAAGCCCTAAAAATAGGCTTAATCTCTACCATTCGGTGCCGAGCCCTGGACTGAGGGCCTTGTTGTGTTAACCCTCACACCCCCATTTCGAAGATGAGGAAACCGAGGCCCAGCAAGGTGAAGCCACCCGCCCAGAGTCACTCTGGCCGGTGCAGCAAGGACGGGGAACCCGAACCCCGAGCTCCGGCAGGAAGGTGTCTGGCCGGCCCCCCCCCCCGCCGCCTCGGAGTTCAGTTCCCGGAACACTCACGTCTGCTCTTCCCCTCGGGCCTCTGCCGCGAACCACTGAGTCGCACGACCCCACCCGCAGGGCCCTCCTCACCAGGGAGCCTGCCCGTGCCTTTTCCTTTCCCCCAGCAGCCGGCTGGGGACCTGGTCCGGCCACCACCCGCATGAGGTGACCGAGAGCCCGGGGCAGAGACCTGAGCGGTGGCCGCGGGCAGCTCACCTGGCCCCAGGGCCCCACCACCCACTTGGTACAGGGCTGGGTGTTGCAGGACCGGGTGCTGTTGGGCCTCAGGGCCTCCTCGCAGAGGCCGGGCTCCGGGCAGGTCACCAGGCGCTGCTGCTCGCCCCCGCCACAGGCCTCCGAACACTGGAGGGGCGCGACGGGCACAGGGCCGGGTGAGGGCGCTGCCGGGCCCGAGGGCCCCCTCCCCACCGCGCCCCCACCCCCGCCCCCGCCCCCAGGCCTCACCTCTCTCCAGGAAGAGACGTACCAGCTGAGGCAGGGCTGGGTGCCGCAGGGACGCCGGGCGGGGGGCATGGCTGGCCCCGGCTGGCAGTGGAAGGGCCTCAGGGGCCGGAGGTCCTGCGTGTCCACACACTGCACCTCCCGCGCCGAGGACCCTCCGCCGCAGCTGCGGGAGCACTGCGGGCCACGGAGCACGCCGTGAACGCACCCCACTTGCACGTGCCCCGCGCCGCCCGGCTGGGGCAGGTCTCTGCAGAGAGCCCCAGGGAGAGCCCGGGGACAGATGGACAGGGAGGTCCCGAGGGCGACGCAGGGAAGGGGCTGGGGACGGAACAGGCCGGCGGCCCGGAGCCTCCCCAGCCTGCCCCAACCGCGGACCCCCCACCCCCCGGGGGCCCGCGTACCTTGCTCCAGTTGCCCGCGTGCCAGGCGGCACACGGCCTCAGGTGGCAGCGGCGGGCGGGCTGGGGCCGGCCCTCGGGGGCACAGCCGTCCTCGCGGCCGGAGCTGCAGCGCACGGGCCTCCACACGGCACCCAGGCCGCAGGTGGTGGAGCACTGGGGGCCAGGGCGCGGGCCGTGAGGGCGGCAGATCCCCAGCTAGGGGCCGCCCCCCGCGGTCGGGTTGGGGGTACCCTGGTGGAGCCAGGGCCTCAGTTTCCCTGTCTGCAGAAGGGGCTCCCTCACCCACCTCCCAAGACGACCGTGAAGACCCAAGCTCACAAGCCACTCTGCGTAGTCCCAGGGGACCCACTAGGTGACCCAGCCGTTGTGACCAGGCTCACTGCTCCCCAGAATCACGGAGGGAGGGAGTCTGGATCCCTCCCCACCCAGAACCAGGGGTGTGAACAGAACCTGGACAGTGACACCGTGGGGACGCCCACGCTGTCTGGGCAGCGAGGGCCGCTGCTCGTGGCTGACCTCATCCGTGCCAGCCACCCACCCGGTGCCCCCCCATGCCAGTGAGGGCCTCTGGGGACTCTAGAGATGGGCACGTGGGCCCCCCAGCACCCCGCTGCTCGGGCAGGAAACAGGCCTGGTGGGGTGGACCGCCCGCAGGGGCGCAGGGAACGCGACCTGGGGCACCGTTCCTCCCCCCATGGGCGGGGTTCGGTTTCCGGGTCCCTACCTCACTCCAGTTCCCCACTTCCCAGCTGGCGTTCGCGGCAGCCAGGCTGGGGTCCGGCTGGGCCTCCGGGACACGGCTGCCGCTGGCCGAGCCGGCCTGAGCCAGGGTGGGCACCGCGGAGCCCGGCGCCGTCGGGAGGAAGGCTCCTGGTGCTTCTGGGGTCCAAGGGGCAGGAGGCCCAGGCTCCAGGGTGCCGTCCCTCCCCCGGGTCCCTGGCAGAGCGCTCGGCGGGGGAGGGGGCGCAGGAGCCCCCCCGGCGCTGGGCCCCAGCGTGCTGTCCACAGGCCCCGGGGCCCTGCTCAGAGCTGGCTCCCGGGCCCCAGCCCCCGCTGTCCACAGCGATCCTGCGTCGGGACTCGGGGAGGAGCGGCTGGGGCCCGAGGAGGACAAGGGGGGTGAGGTGGGGCGGGGCCCCTGGGGGGGGACGGTACCCCCCCCCTCTTCCTCCTCCTCCTCCTCCTCGAGCTCGTTGGTCCTCTCCCACCGCGGAGGGGGCATCCGGCTCTGGCCATCTTCCCCTCCCAGGAGCCCGTTTCGGCTCCCAGGAGCAGCTGGTGTTTCCGTGCCCCCGGCTGAAGTGGGGGGCCAGGGCGAGCCGGGGGGGCCCAAGTCTGGGGCCGCAACGGGGATGTCTTCCTCGGGCGAGGAATTGACCAGGGGGTGCTCAGGGGTCTGCTCCGAGGGTGGGGTCGGGGAGAGGCCAGGCTGGCCGGGCCAAGGGGGAGGGAGCCCATCTCCCAGCGGCCCCTCCTTTTCAGCCCCAGGAGGCTCTGAGGCCGGCAGGGGGGTGCCTGCGGGGGGCTCAGCAGGGCTGCTCAGGGGTGGGGGCTTCCAGCCCCCTGCACCTCCCAGGTCTGGGGCGGGGTCCCCCAGGGGCCCATAGGAGAGGTCCTCGTGGAAGTTAATGAAATTGTAGTCGTAGTAGAAATCGTCAACGAACACAGGCCCCGGCGGGCCTGGCTCCGGGTCCTCCTCGATGGCGTTGCCCGTGCCGCCCGGCACGGGGGGCTCGGGGCGCAGGGCCGGGTGCGGGGCCATGAAGTCGATCTCATTGAGCAGCTCGTGGCTGGAGGAGGAGCCGCTGCCCGAGCCCTCGGGGCCCAACATGTCCAGGGCCCGCGGACAGGGCGGCAGAGAGCAGGGTGCCCCGCTGGCCGGCCGCTGGGCCTCATCACAGGGGACGCCGGTGTCATTGGTACAGAGGACCCTCCGGTGCTGAACGCCGTCCCCGCACGTAGCCGAGCACTGGGGAGGAGGCCGTGGAGAGGGGCTCAGGCCAGGGAGGCAGGGGCCCGGGGGCGCCCTGCCTGCCGGCCAGGGTCAGAGCCAGAGGCCTCAGCCAGCTGGAGACCGTGGCGTGCGGGGGTGGCTCACTGGGGCGTCGTGGTCCCTGAGGCCTTGGGGCCCCCGCCCTCCCTCCGCCCGTGGCGCCTGGCGGCGAGGGCTCCCTGGAGACCGGCGGTGGGGCCGGGGCCCCATCCCGACACTCACCTGAGACCAGTTCCCCACGGCCCAGGTGGCGGGACAGGGCACCTCGCGGTTGCAGGGGCTCTCGGCAGGGGGCCGGGGGAGGTGCAGGCAGGCAGGCGGCGCCAGGGCCCTCTGCTCATCCACCCCGACGCTGCGGATGCAGAGCACGGCGCGGCGGGCGAGGCCCCCGGGCCCGCAAGAGTGGGAGCAGGCCTGCCACTCCCCGGCCCACCACCTGCGGGCACACGGGCCGCGTCAGCGGCGCTCGGGGTCCCCGCGGGTCAGGCCGCAGCCCAGGGGGCAGCTTCCCAGAGCCGCAAGCCCCTGGAGCCCAGCCAACAGGGCATCCCTGGGGGAGCCAGGCAGGACCCAAACCCAAGTGGCCAGGGACGTCCTAGGCTGGCCCAGGGTGGGGTGGGGACGGCCACTCCCTCTGCTCCCCCCGTGGCCCCGGGACGTGGGGTCAGTGGCGGGGCCGGGAGCCTGCAGGGGGCAGCGGTCAGGGTGGGCGCACCGGGCAGGGCAGGGCTCCTCGCTGCAGGGCCTCTGGCGGTCATCCGGCCGGCCCAGGGGGTCGCAGTGTCTCTCACCCACGGGCCCCACCTGGCGTTCAGTACACTGCACAGTCTGCCTCTGCATACCTGGGGGGACGCGAGGACTCAGCCTGGGCCCGGCGGCCCCGCACCGGGGACGAGGCCATACCTGCTCCGCTAGACCCCCTCCCAGAGACCCCTGCTAGAGCCCTCTCCCCGACACCCGTTCTAGAACCTCCCAGAACAAGGCCTCATGACCCTCGTCGCTGGCCTCCCAGCCTTCCCTTCCGGCCCTAGACGGGGCCCAGAGCACGGAGGTTCGTGGGGTTGAGCCAGCCCCTTGGCTTCCTAGCTGCGAGGCCTTGGGCAGCTCACCCGGCCTCTCTGAACCTCAGTATCTTCATCTGTGAATGGGAGGAACAATGACCACCGTCCCGAAACCAGCACGTGAGGGGAGCACGCGGCCGTGGCCGTGCGAACCCAGCCTCGCCTCCCAGCAGGGTCAGCGCACAGAAAAGGCGGAGAGGAAGCCCCCAGACCCCCGAGCGGACACCCCTCTCCAGCCCAGGAGCCCCACACTGCCTTTGTCACCGTTCTGCCCCAGCCACCGCCGGCCTCTGGGGCTTTGCACGACTGTGCTGCTCCCCTTGACACAGAACCCACGCCGTGTCCGGTGGCAGGACCCTCCAGCGGGCTCTGCTTCACCCCTGCCTCCCTCGGCCCGAGCCTTCTGTCCCCCGTCTGCTCCCCCTCCCCTGATGGAATTCTGGTCTCTGTGCGGGCCTGCCGAGGACACCCCCCCACCCCCACGGGAGTCCCCGTGTGCAAGGGAGCTCTGGGCAGAGTCCTTCCAGGGAGGAAAGAACACAAGCCCCTCCCCTGGGGGTCACCCCTCACCCTTTCCTTCTTCCTGCCTGGACCCCAGGAAGGGGGAGGGACCACCTTGACACACGTGAGGGGGACGCACAGATGTGGAGAAAGGTCCAGGGTCCCTAAGGGCACCCCGGGCCACCTGCCCCCATGCGCTGTGCTCCAGCCGCCACCGGCCAGGACCCCAGTGCCTGGAGCCACACATCCCCCCACACGCCGGGGAGGCAGCTGCTGGCTGAGGCCACGCCCCAGGGGCCCGTTTGTCTAACACGTTTGCTTTCACCCCTGTGGACGTAAAGATGCTTATCGGGGGCAGGACACCGTTAACAGCTTTTGAACATTTCTGCCTGGTTTCTGTCGGCGGGTTTTCCCTTTATCGTCGCACAAGCGTTTTGAGGAACGTTTGAGGGGCGCCTGGGTGGCTCCGTCGATTGAGTACCCAATTTCTGACTTGAGGTCAGGTTGTGATCTCACGGTTCATGGGTTTGAGCCCCGAATCGGGCTCTGGGCTGACACTGCGGAGCCTGCTTGGGCTTCTCTCTCCCCGCCCCCCACCCCTCCCCAGCTCGTGCTGTCTCTCCAAATAAAAAAATACAAAAGAGGAACGTTCAGCTGTCTGTCCAGACTTCTGACACGGAGACCCCTGCACACGGGGAGCAGTGGGGGCCACGGGGCCACGGGGCCACGGGGCGGGGAGTCAGCGACGCCATCACACGCCTCGTACAGTTGGAAGAAATGACTGCCGTGTGGGGAACGGGCCCCTGGGCCCAGAGGCTCAGAGCCGGGGTGGGGACACGCTCCTCCCTACCCTCCCTCCTCCTCTCCGTCCTCCCTGGGGAAGCCCCCCCGGGGCCGGGGCCGGAAGGGGAGGCTCTGGGCCTCCCAGGAAGGAGGAGGTGGAGGAGGGAAGGACCCAGGCGGGACTGGGGGGGGTGGGGTGCAGGTATGGGCGAGCGCCCGGCTGGGCAGTGAGAGCAGGAGAGGCAGCCGGCACGTCTCTGGGGACAGAGTGCCAGCAGCTGGGACACAGGGCGCTCCGCACGGGGCGGGTCCTGTGCCGGCCTCTCGCCCGGGCACCCGCGGCAAGCAGCGAGCTGGAGGCTGAAGCCGGGCACCGCTCCCACCCTCTCCTCACCTGTGCCACAGGTGACGGTGCACTTGCTCCAGGGCCCATAGCTCCAGGAGAACTCGGGCGCCTGGCCGTGGCCGTGGCCGTCCGCCTCCCTGTGGATGGTGTACTCGTAGCGCACCCCGGGGTTGTTTTCCTGGAAGAGCAGCTGAGGCAGGTGGGCAGGGGCACTGTGAGCACGAGGGGTCCCCGCCACCCACCCGGGGTCCCCGCCACCCACCCAGGGGCCCCTTGAGTGCAAGGCATCCACCACCTGCCCAGAGCGACCATCGGATAGGATCCAGCCCCAGCCACCTCTGGGATCTGGGGCTACACTGTGGGGCCGTCCTGGAGACGGGGGAGCCGAGGCAGAGGTCCAGGGCTTTGTCCCGCCAGGGGGCAGGGGGCAGGGGGCAGGGGGCAGGGGGCGGGGGCGGGGGCGGGGGCTGGGGGGCGGGGGCCGGGGGCAGGGGGCAGGGGCCAGGGGGCGCTGGACCCCCCAGAGCCCACCTCTGCTTCCCGCCCTGGGGCCCGGGAGGCGGGCACCTGGATCCAGACAGGCTCGTCGGTGGGGCCGGGGGCCGTGAGGTTCTCCCAGTTGCCTGTGCGCGCGTACGTGAAGGTGGTGCCCGCCACCAGGTAGTCGCCGCCCCACTGGATGGTCCAGCCCCCGTTGAGGAAGTACTTGTGCGGGTCCTCGCTCCGCAGGGCCAGGAAGTTGGCGGCCTCGGCCAACTCCTCGATGTGGATCTCGCGGGCGCCAGCCGGGATCAGCCCCACGTCCACATACCCTGTTGGCCTGGGGGTGTGCGGAGGCTCAGAGGGCTCGCTGTCCCCTCCCTCACCCCCCTTCCCGCTCGGCGCAGCCTGCAGACGGTGAGGCCCCACCGCCAGCCAGGGTCCCGAGCCCCCCCGGGAGGCAGACTTCCGTGTGTCCCAGGTCACCTAACCTCAGAAGGGCTCCTCAAACCCTGTGACCCACGCCGCCCCCCCGTCTCCTGGAGACCCAGGCGGCGTCCGTGTCACAAGGCTGGGCCTCCCCCGGGACACCCTCCACGCTGCCACCCAGCCTGTTCCTGTTCCTTCACCGACTCTGAGCCTCGCCCGGGGACACGGGCTGTCACCCCCGCCTGACAGACGAGGAAACGGAGGCCCAGACAGATGAAGGAACTCGCTGGGGGGTTCTGCTGGGGCACGGATGGGGCTCTGCGGTCAGAGCATCCCGGGCCCGTGCTGGGGGCCCTGCCCCTTACAGGCCCCCCCACCGAGAGGCCCCGTGGGGCTCTGACAGACCCGGCTCTTTCCTGTGTGCCACGCCTCTCCCATCTCGCTGGCGTCTTTCATCCACCAGCTAAATTGCCCCCTCCTCCAGGAAGTCTCCCCTGACCTCTCGGGGTCAGGACCTCCTTCCTCACCTCCACACCCCCTCACCCGGCACACAGTTGGCACTCACACCGGAGGTGAGGGGTGGCACTATCTGAAGCCTCACAAGAAGGCAGCAGTCTCTGAAAGGGCTGGCGCCCCCCATAAGCCTCATCAGCCAACCCGGGGTCCCCGGGTCAGCAGGACCCCCTGAGGACACGTCCCCGCGTCTGGGCCAAGGGGCCTGACGCCTGAGAGGTGCATGGTCTCCCTGCCTCAGGTCTCCCGCCTGGGTGTGCGCCCCGGGGGCCAGGGCAGGGCCTCAGGGAGACCAGGAAGGGCTGCCAAGTTAGCGCCCCCCCCCCCCCGCGTACCCAGGCCCTCAGACTCCTCGAAGGTCGCGCTCACGGTGTGGCAGGTGGAGCCGTTGCCATGGCACACGCCACAGCGGTCCTCGACGGCACCCGAGTCGATCTCGAAGTCACAGCCCACGTTCTGGAACACGCGGGAGGTACGCCCTAGTGCCTGCCCGGCCACAGGCCTCCCCGGCCCCCCAGTGTGACACAGAGGGGTCCCCACATGCAGTGACGCCCTGCTGAGAGGGACGAGGCACAAGAGGGGGACTCCCACAAAGACCTACAGCCGCTGGGGCACTGACCCCCAGGGGCCCCCAGTGTGGACGGGAGCTGGCTAGAGTAGGGGACAGCGGCTGGGACACGGGCGGGGAAGAGCCCCGTGCTGTTCGGAGCCCTGCGTGTCCCTGCAGTGACCTCACTGGACCCAGCGACAGGGATGCCGGATTGGCCACTTTCTATCACAGAGGATACCACTGCCTGGGGCCCTTCAGCCAGCAGGAGGCTGACCCGGGTTCTGGTCTCCCCGCGGGGGCTATGCAGCTGCAGGCCGAGCTTCAGAGGCTCTGTCAGCGGGCAGGGAGGAGGGGGGAGGGCCACAGTGCAGGAGCTGGGGGTGCGAGGCCCGCCTGTGAGGGGCTCCAGGGCCCGGGGGGCCAGGGGCTGTCTTTGCTGACGGGGGCCAGCCCGGGGAGGGGGCCCGAAGGGAACCAGGAGGGACCCCGGGGGAGCCAGCGTGGGAGACGCCCCTCCGGTCAGGCACACCTTGCAGATGCCGTTGATGCAGAGGTCGTGGCCGGGCTGGCCCTGATAGCAGGGGGTGCCGTCGATCACGGCGTCCCTGAGCTTCTCAGCAAAGTACTCGTTGGAGGGCCGGCAGTGCAGCTCACAGGGGCTGGCTGGGGGCCCGAGGGGGGAGCCGTGAGGCACGGCCAGGGCGGGGGTCGCACCCCGTGTCAGGGGCAGGCTGGAGGTCCTGGGACCGCGCGGCCGGGCAGGGGTGGGGCGCCTCCCTTCGGGGGCAGGACTCACCATCGTTGAGCACGGGCACCCAGGTGTGCAGCTGGCCCTTGTAGAGCATGGCGTCAAAGTGGCTGCACTGGACGTGGCGGAAGGAGGGGCGGCCGGGGGGGCAGGCCTGCAGGTTGCACAGACGGAAGCGCTTCCGCTCGCCCACACAGTACCTGCCCTTGTACTTGGGCCTGCGGGGAGAGCCGGGTGGGGCCGAGTGAGCTCGCAGCGCCTGGGCCGGGGCCCTGGACGGGGCTGGCTCCACGTCCCGCACCCGCTGGGCCAGCCCCTCAGTCTGCGCTCCCGCTGGCTGGCCTCGCCTGAATCTTCAGATCACCTGATGTCAGGAGGGGAAACCGAGGCCCGGAGGGATGGGGTCACCAGCCCCAGGACGCACAGCATCCCTGCGTGCCGACCAGCCGTCCCCAGAGCTGTCTCAGACCCACCTGGGCCTCAGATGCCAGTAAGAGCCCTGTGGTCACCCCAGAGTACGATTTCCCCAGAAACTGAGGCCCAGAGGAGGGGTGGACAGACTTGAGCCTGATCTATGGTCCAGGTTCTAAGCTCTTAAGCCCTGCCCTCTCCTGCCTCCCTCTGGCCAGTTACTGCCCTGCTGGGCCTTGGTGTTCCCCTCTCTGCAGTGGGGTCAGCGGTGGGGACTCTGCTGGCCTCCAGGACCCCCTAGGGGTGAGCCAAGGCGGCCCTCGGTGCTCTGGGCACAGCCTCCATGGCGACGTTTGGAGAGCAGGAGGCTGGGACAGGGCCAGGCCCCTGCGGTCTCACTCAGCTCAGGACCCAGCCCCGCGCCCTGGGCGCCCCCGGCCGCACTCACACAGGCTGCGTGCACTGCCGCTCGGCCCTCTGCACACCCACACCGCAGCTCCGCGAGCACGTGGACCAGGCGCTCCAGCCGGACCAGCCGCCGTCCACAGCCTCAGGCCGGAAGCCGACGGGGACGCACTCCCCGTTCAGACACCACTGCCGAGACAGGTGAGGCGGAGAAATGCACCCAGGCCGGTCAGTCACCCCCGCCCTGGGGAGACGGCGGCAGCTGGGGCCCGGGGAGACGGCGGCAGGCGCGAGGCGGCCCCCTCCTCGGGCCCCACGGTGGAGGCGCGGGAGGAACAGGCCACGTGCTGACTCTGGGGGAGCAGGGCTGCGCCCCCTCCAGTGTGCGGGCGGGGCGGGGCGGGGCAGAGAGGCTGGGGCTCCAAGAGCCTGAGCTCGTGTGAGCAGAGGCTGCCTGCAGAGATGGGCACAGCGGGAGCCCCCCTCCCCCCCTCCCCCACCTGGCGCCCCTACCTTGCTCTCCCCACACCTGGTGCCATCCACAGCTGCATCCAGCTTGGAGTGACAGGTGGTCCCCACGGAGCACCAGAGCGTGTGGCAGACATTCTGCAGGGAGGACATCGGCCATGCCCTCACCCCTCCCTGCTGCCTCCGCCCGCCACCCCTTACCACCCTGCGTGGGGCGGGCACAGGCTGGGGGGCTGCAGATGGGATTCCCAGAGGGGCCCCTCCCATCTTCTCCCAACCAGGTGGTGCTGGGGGCCTCCAGCCCCGCCCCACCCCGCCCCCACCCCGCCCACCTCTCCAAGCCCCGCCCACCTCTCCAAGCCCCGCCCACCTCTCCAAGCCCCGCCCACTCCCTTAGAAAGACCTCCCCGCCCCCCCCAAGCCTGGGGTCTCTAACGAGGCCACTCTAACTTCCGGAGGGTCTCCCCCAGGGCCACGCAGCGTGGGCTGTATTTTGCCTCCTCTAACCCGGCCCTGGGAGGTGAGGGGCTCACGAAGGCCGCACAGTTGGCAAATGGTCCACCCGGAATTCAGAGCCGGGTGTGTGGCCCCCGGAGCGGATCCCACATGCCTGGAGTCTCCCAGCATCACGTGTGAGGTGCGGGCCAGTGCAGGCGCCGCAGCGCTGCAGGCTGCGGGGGACGCCCGCCCCCCCCGCCCCCGCCCCCGCCCCCCCCCCGCGCCCACACTCACGTCCATGTCATCACAGAAGGCGGAATAGGCCCCGTACTGGAGGCGGCACTGGTGGCCCACGTCGTAGAGAACCCCGGGCGGCACCGAGGGGAAGTCGATGACATCCTTGGTGGGCGCGTCGTCCAAGCACAGGCCCCACCCCCGGCTGCAGAGATGGGAGGGGGACGGGGGACAGCCTGAGACGCCCATCAGGGACGCCTCGGGGGGGAGGGGTGAGAAAGAGCACTGAACCTGCGGGAAAACTGCAGCCTCCCTGCCCACCCCTGCCCACCCCTGCCCACCCCGGGCCCCCAGCCCAGCATTCGGGCCCTCCTGCCCCCTCCGGGTCTCCTGGCCAACCAACTGGCCCCGCCCCCAGGGCCCCGGTGCTCAACACTCTCCCCCGAAGACTCTCTCCAGCACAAAGGCCCGGCCTCAGAAGCCTCCAGCCCACCCACCCCTCGAGGCCCAGCTCTGAGCCTCCCGCAGCCTCCACCCCTCCGCATGGGGCCTGGGCCCCTTCAGTCATCAGTCAGGGATCTGGAGAGCATCACTTCAGAGCTGACACGGCGGCCCCACCCCAGGCTGAGATCTGGGGGCTCCCTCGGGGACCACAGCCTGAGACCAGGGCCGCCCTGCCTGCCTGTCCCTCCCTCTCCTGCCTCCCCTCTGCAGCTTCCCCGGCAGCACAGGGCACCCAGGCTGCCCTGATGCCACGCAGGGAGCAGGAAGGTCCCCGGGCCCAGCTCTCCACAGGCCCCTCTTGCACAGCTGCGGCCTCGAGGCCAGGGACCATCCCGCCACCCTCGCCAGCCCCGCACACCAACTGACCAGCCCGGGGCTCCCAGCCACCGCGCAGGAGTCGGAAAGGGGTCAGGGGCTCCCTCAGGGCAGCAGTGGCTGGGACGAAGGGCAGCAGCCGGCCTGGGCGGGGGAGGCAGAAGCCCTCCAGCCTGAGGTGCTGGGCGGCAGGCGGTACCGGGGGCGGGGGCAGGGGGCAGGTGAGTGGAGCGTCCTGGTTAGGGTCAGAGGGCCAGAGGGGGTGGGTGCTGGGGTCTGGTGGGGACGCACAGAGGAGACACCACAGGGTGGGGACAGGCTGGGAGAGGGAAGCAGGCCAGCACACGCACCGGTCTGGGGAGAGGCTGGAGGCGGGCAGCCTCGGGGGCTGCAGGGGGTCGGGGGTCTCCTAAGTTCCCCAACTCCACCCAGAGCCGCAGTGAACACGGGGTCCTGGGGACCCCTCCCCCCAAGTCACCAGGACCCCCTGTGCTAGTGGAAAACAGACTCTGTCAAGTGGGGCCTGGTCGTCTCCCTGCTGTGGCCACAGGCCAGGCCCTGGCTTGCTCCTCAAACACCCTGGGAGGAATCTAGTCCCCTCCTCACATGCGCAAGGCCCAAGGCACAGTGTCCCTTGCCCTGGGTCACACTGGAGGGCCAGGCCCAGGCTGCCAGTGGCCACACACGCCCGTTTGCTGGGCTGCCGGGGGCACGGCTCCTCCCCTCTGTCCATAAGCCTGACCTCAAATACTTCACCCCAACGTAAGTTCAAATCCGGCAGCTGAGCCCTGGCAGAGAGAGGGCAGTGTTCCCACTGCTGACCTTGGTCTGCGGCTCCCTGGGCCTATGCCCTGGGGCAAAGCATCAGCTGAGGGCAGGGGACGCGGGCGGGGGCAGGGGGCGGGGGCAGGGTGGGGGGCAGGGTCAGCATGGCCCCGGGACCTGGGACTCCTTCTGTCCCACAATTCAGGATATGGGCTAGGAGGGCTCCCCCTCCACACCCCCCCCCCCGCTCTCACGCAGACCCGGCCTGGGGGCTCCTCCAATTTGCGGCCTATCGCACCCCAACGCCACAACAGCAGCCCCAGGGCACCCTCGGGCGGTTTCCTGGCTGGAACCCACCATGTGTCAGGTCCTGTGGGCTGGGCAGCTGGGGTGACAAGAGCCCATCTGGTCCATTCTATCCGTGTGCGAGGGGGTGGGGTGCTGGGGACCCTCGCAGGACCCAGCACCAGAATCAGGGCCATATTCAGGCCTAAGTGCTGACGGGGAGTCGGAACCCCAAATGCGGGTCCCTGCCCAGCTCCAGAGGCCGCGTGGCCTGGGCCATCCCTCACCCTCCCTGGGCCTTCACACCCTCCGCCACAGGAGGCCGAGGCTGCCCGTGGGGCCCGGAGCCACCAAGGTGCACATAGCGGCATGTGCTTGGGAAAGACACGGCAGCAGCGGCCAGCTCTCCGCCGGGTTCCTCGCACTGCGGACGCACACCCGCGGCTGCGGGCGGGGCCGAGGACCTTCCAGTCCAGGGAGAAACTAGGGGCCTGTGGGCGCCACGGAGCCTCCCCCACGTCCAGGGAGCACGGCCTGAGCCCACCTGGCACCGTCCGTGCGTCTTGTTCGTTCTGCCCCAACCCCAGGGAGTGGAGCCCATCCGATGCCCCGCAAGGACACGGCAGGCAGAGGGGCTGAAGACAGGCTGGTCCCCGCCTGCCACGTGAGCCCCCTCCTGCCACCCTTCCTGGGCCTCCAGGCTGGAGAGGCAGGAGCAGAGCCGGCCCTCAGGGGTGAGCCCCCGGCAGCCTCCACCGCGGGTTCGCCGCTCTCTGGCCGTCTCCCCCTGCAGCGCGTCTCCGTGCCCAGGCTCCGGCCTGCTCGCCCCACCCCTCACCCCAGGCCCCAAGCCAAGTCCCTCACGCAGTCGAGTAGCTGAAGGCACAGAGACCCGAGTTCGTCCATCCTGGAGGCAGGGCGCAGGGGTGTGGGGGCTCGCTGGGTGGGGACCCCTGGGAACAAGTGGCGCATCCTCCAGCCCGTCCTGATTCTCTGCCCCCACGTTGGGGCAGGAGACCCGCCCCTGGGGTGGTTTTCAGGCCTGACCCACACGCCCAGGCTCCTGTGCTCGTTCAGGACCGTGTTCTCTACGGCTCAGAAGTCGTGACAGCAGTTAGCAAGCACCGGATGCTACCCATGTGCCAGACGCTGACCCGTCTGCAGGCCAACCCCCCACAGCCAGCCCCGAGGCAGGCCCATCACGGGCCCCACGTAACACATCCGTCAACACAAGGAAAAGCCGGGGCCGGAGTCCAGGCCCTCACCGTCACCCACGACCCCCCTCCGCCACTTCCCTCACCCCCGCAATCCATCCTCTGTCGGGGGCTGGAGCCCCTGCCCACACCCACCTAAACCCCACAGCAAGCAACTTCTAGAAGAACCTGGCCGATTGCTCTCCACTCCCTCCCAGCAGCCCAGTAGGGTGACAGCAAAGGAGTGAAGGAGGCACAGGTCCACAGGGACAGAGGCCAAGGGGCAGGTGGCGACGGCGCATGAAGCATGCGAGCAAAACCCTGGAGCTGGAAAGCGGATGGCAAGCCGTGGCTGAGCTGGCGGCCGAGTCCCGCAGTGAGAAACCGCCCCAGGCAGAGCCCCAGAAAGGCTCAGGCTCAGGGCCCCGGCAAGCCACGGAGGCTGGGGCGCCAGCAGGCCTGGGGACAGGAGACGACACCCCACACCAGCCCCCCGATGCTGTGTGGCCGCCTGCAGAGGGCCGGGGCCACTTTCCGAAGAGAGTGAACCAGGGGATCTGGCCCAGGGTGACCTACAGAGATGGGGACAAATCTAAGTCCCCCCCCCCACCCCCGGGACTACACTCCCAGGACAGGATGAGAGATTCCTCTCTGGGGAAACAGACCCGCTCCAAAAAAGGACTCTAGACACTGGTATGTGACTACCTCCCGAGGACACAGCCACACCCCGGCCAGTCCCCTGCAAGGACTCAGAAACGCCCGCCAACCAGCGTCCCCGCGCCCCCTCCCATGTGTGACAGGAAGCCCAGCCAGTTTTATGCCTCCTTTAACGTGAAAGTTGCGGTTTTGTTTTTTAGAGAGAGAGGGAGAGAGAGAATCCCAAGCAGGCTCCACGCTGTCACCACAGAGCCCGACACAGGCCTTGAACTCACAAACCGTGAGATCCTGACCTGAACTGAAACCAAGAGTCGGATGCTTAACCTACTGAGCCCCCCAGGCGCTCCTAATGTGACAGATTTTTAAAAATTAAATAAAAAGGGGCGCCTGGGGGGCTCAGTCGGTTAAGCGTCCGACTTTCGCTTAGGTCATGATCTCGCGGTTCGTGGGTTCACGCCCCGCGTCGGGCTCTGTGCTGACTGCCAGCTCAGAGCCTGGAGCCCGTTTCAGTCTGTGACTCCCTCTCTCTCTGACCCTCCCCTGCTCACGCTGTCTCTCTCTCTCCTAGAAATAAAGAAAACATTAAAAAATATATATACGTAAAAATTAAATAAAAAGACTGCAGGGAGCTGAAGAAAACGGTTAAATCCATCCAAGGAATAACCTCAGGAAGAAAAGAGGAAATGGCGGAAACGTGACAGTAAGAAGGCGCATTCGGTGAACGAGGAAGCCAGGAAGCTACAGCAACAGTAGAAAAAACCTAACAGGAGGGCGGACATGTGGATGCTGCCCAGGAAAAAGGTAAAACTCAGTAAAAAAAAGTAAAACCTCCAAACAGAAGAAAGCAGCTGAAGGTTGAAGAGCCCCAGAAGGAGGAGCAGGTCTGGGGCAGGCCTGGGGCAGCACGAGAAATAAGCTCACCTAACCCGTGAAGGAGCCAGAGAACAAACTAACCCCGAACCGGCAGAAGGAAGGAAAGAATAAGGATTAGAGAAAAAATGAATACAATAAACATTAAAAAAACAACAACAACCAGTAGCACAGCTCAGGTTCTTTGCAAGGATCGACCAAATTGATATGCCTGTAGCTGGACTTATCGAACCAATGAGAAAGACTGAGAGAGTCAGAGACAAGGAGGGAGAGAGACAGAGAGAGGCAGGGGGAGGGAGGAGAGGAGAAAGGACTCAAACGAACAAAATCAGAAATGAAAGAGAAGTAACAACGGACTCCACCAAAATACAAAGGATTGTAATTATGAAAACCTAAATGCCAACACAGTAAACAACATAGAAAAAATGGATAAATTCCTAGAAACATATAACCTCCTCCCCCCACCCAAAAAATCAGAAAGAAATAGAAAACTTGAACAGACCAATCACCAGCAAAGAAACAATCAGGAATAAAAAACGCCCATCAAACAAAAGTCCAGCACCAGATGGCTTCACAGGCGAATTCTACCAACACTTAAAGAAGAGTTAACATCTCTCCTTCTCAAACTGTTCCAAAAAATTAAGAAGGAAAACCTCCAAATTCATCCTACGAAGCCAGCATTATACCTCGATACCAAAACCAGACAAAGACACCACAGAAAAAGAGAATGACAGGCCAGTATCCCTGATGAACGTGGATGCAGAAATTCTCAATAAAATGGTTGCAAACGGAATCCAGCAATATCTTTAAAAAATCATTCACTACAATCAGCTGGGATTTATTTCTGCATTGCAAGATTCACAAATCAATCGACATGATAATCATGTGAACAAGAGAAAGGATAAAAACCATACGATCCTTTCAATAGACCTAGAAAAAGTATTTGGCAAAATACAACATCCATTCATGAGAAAAATCCTCGACAAAGCAGGCTTAGAAGACGTCCCTCGCCGTGATACAGGCCGTATGTGAAAAACCCAGAGCTAACATCATCCTCGATGACGAAACACGAAGAGCTTTCCTTCTAAGATCAGGCACAGGACAAAGATGTGCACTCTCACCACCTTCATCCAGCAAAGTCCTGGATGAAGCCGCAGCAATCAGACATGGAAAAGAAATTAAAAGAATCTGAATTGGCCCAGAAGAAGTAAAACACTCAGTATTTGCAGATGATGTAATACTATACGTAGAAAACCCGAGCCACTTCACCAAAAGTCTACTGGAACTGATATATTAATTCGGGAAATCTCAGGATACAAAATCTGTTGGGAGCCATTTTCTGAACTCATAGGTTGAGTAAGAACTCCTTATGAGGTTAAGGTAAGTTGCACGGACTCTTACCGTCAGATGGCGACCCCAGTATCCACCCCCACCCAAGTATTTCAGCTTGAGTACTGGCCCCCAAGTCACCTTGGGGTTTTTTGGGTTTTTTTTTAATTTTTTTTTATTTTTTTATTTATATCTGAGAGAGAGATACAGCGTGAGCAGGGGACGGTCAGAGAGAGGGAGACACAGAATCTGAAATAATAAAGTAGCAAGGAATCAACTTAACCAAAGAGGTGAACAGTCTGTACTCTGAAACTATAAAACACTGATGGACACAAAACCACAAAGAAATGGAAAGACACTCCACACTCGTGAATTGGAAGAACAACTACTGTTAAAATGTCTATACTCCTCAGAGCAATCTACACATTAAATGCAATTCCTGTCAAAACACCACCAGCATTTTTCACAGAGCTGGAACACACAGTCCTAAAATGTGTATGAAGCCACGAAAGACCCCAATAGCGAAGCAACCTTGAAAACGAAGAACAGAACTGGAGGCATCACAATTCCAGACCTCAAGGTAGGTTACAAGGCTGTGGGATCAAACCCTCCGGTGCTGGCATAGAAACAGGTCAAGGGAGCGGGACGGAAAGGCCAGGTGCCCAGGAACAAAGCCACAGTCATACGGGCAACTGATCTTGGACAAAGGAGGCAAGAATACACAATAGGAAAAAGACAGTCTCTTCCCCCAGTGGTGCTGGGAAGACTGGACAGCGACGTGCAGGGAAATAAACATGGACCACTTTCAGGGCGACTGGGGGGCTCAGTCAGTTAAGTGACCAATTCTTGATCTCGGCTCAGGTCATGATCTCAAGGTTCGTGAGTTCAAGCCCCGAGTTGGTCTCTGCACTGACAATGTGGAGCCTGCTTGGGATTCTGTCTCCCTCTCTCTCTGCCCCTCCCTGCCTACTCTCTATCTCTCACAAATAAACTTGAAAAAAGAAAAAAAAAGAGCAGACTGCTTTCTTAGACCATACACAAAAATAAACTTAAAATGGATTAAGGACCTAAACACGAGACCTGAAACCATAAAAATCCTAGAGGAGAGGGGCGCCTGGGTGGCTTAGTCGGTTAAGCGTCCGACTTTCGCTTAGGTCATGATCTCGCGGTTCGTGGGTTCGAGCCCCGCGTCGGGCTCTGTGCTGACTGCCAGCTCGGAGCCTGGAGCCTGTTTCAGTCTGTGACTCCCTCTCTCTCTGACCCTCCCCTGCTCACGCTGTCTCTCTCTCTCCTAGAAATAAATGAAACATTAAAAAAAAAATTTTAAAAAAAAATCCTAGAGGAGAAAGAACACAGGCAGTGATTTCTCTGACATCAGCCATGTTCTTCCTAGATAGGTCTCTTGAGGCAACAAAAATAAAAGCAAAAATCAAGTACTGGGACCTCATCAAGATAAAAAACTTCTGCACGTGAAAACTATAAAACGCTGCTGAAAAGAACCAAAGAGAAGACACAGAAATGGAAAGACATTCCATGCTCACGGATTGAAAGGACAAATAAGGGAGGGGCAGAGAGACAGAGACAGAGAGAGGGAGGGAGAGACTCCCAAGCAGGCTCCATGCTGTCGGCACAGAGCCCAAAGTGGGGCTCGAACTCACAGACCGTGAGATCCTGAGCTGAGCTGAAACCAAGAGTCAGAGGCTCAACCTGCTGAGCCGCCCGGGCGCCGGGAACGAAGCGTCTGAAGCGCCACCGGGGTGACTGGCAGCCTGAAGCCGATGTCACATCAGGCTACCGACGCGGAGTGAGGGCAGGATGAAGGCACTCCAAACACGCAAGCCCCACCTCCACCTACCTTTTCTAGAAGCTGCTCCCCCGAAACAAGCACCCCCAATCGGTGGGAGGAGGGCCGTGCTGGACCATTTTAGGGCCTGGAAGGCACCGGTCTACACTGGAACCAGAAGCCCACTGACGGGGGACCAGCACCTGCTCAGATGTCACGTGCTCTGTGTCCCTGACACAAGGCAGGGACGTGTCTAGAAGCGTGAACAACCCAGAAACCCCGTCGTCCCGTTGATGGGCGTTACCTCCCTGTCTCGGGCACCCACACACTGGAAGTGGGGACGCAGAGGGGGACACGGGGCGACCCCCAGACCCTTTCCCTTAGACCTCTGGCCTGCGTGAGCCGAGGGCGGGGGCAGCGCGAGAACGCCCGGGGGTGGGAAGTGGAATAAAACCGTTCGGTCCGCGCACGTTTCCAGCTGTGAGCGGGGCTGCGGGCCCGGCCGCGTCACGTGGGGCCTCGCGCCCGAAGTCCGCCCTCCTTCGTGTACTTGTAGCTGGCGCTGCGCCAGGTTCTGTGCTAATAACTTAAATCTTTACATTTTTCTTGCTTAGAACAACATTAAATAGCAAACAAAAAACACGGTCACCAGCTGCGAGAATGAGAAAGAGAGAACAGGCTTTAGATTTGGCGCCTCGAGCGGCCTGAGCCGTGTCCCGACTGGTCTCTGTCCTGTCCCAAACCCAGGGCCCGACCCCAGCCCCCTCCCTAGGTCCCCACGACCCCTCTCCCTTCTGCGGGGCCGTGGGACATGGATATGGGCTCGGGGACCTCTCAGTCCAGCCCAGGGGGACGGGCCTGTGCTTCTCTGCACCTGGCTCCGGGGGCACCGGGCAGCCCCCCCGGCCCAGCTCCGGGGGCACCGGGCAGGCCCCCCCCCCCCCCCCCCCCCCCCGACTCACTCCAGGAACCTGGTGATGTACTCGCGGCTGCAGCGGGACCAGGTGAGGGGCGCGGTGTCGTACAGGAGCTGTGGAGACATGATGGAAGGCCGTTTCCCAACGGGCTCGCAGTCATTGCCGCTTCCGTCGTGCTGAATCCCAAAACTGCGTGAGAGCACAGGCCCCGGGGGCCGGTGAGCCACGGGGCCACGGGCGGCTCTGCCTCCAAACCCCGTGCGGCCTGCGGGGCCGACGCCTCTCAGAGCCTCAGCCTCCCGAACCCAGTGCGGGCGGGACGGCCTCCCGAGCCTGAGGGGTACCCGCAGTGACAAGCCGCGGGCATGGGGGGGCGACAGCTGCCCCCACAATCGCACGGGGACCGGCAGGGAAGGACCCGGGTCCCTTCTGTGCACTAGGATGAGGAGTGTGCCCAGAGAGTGCCCGGGACCCCGCCCTGGGGAAGGAGAGGGAGATGCTCCGTGCTCAGCGCTAACTGCACGCCAGATGCCATGCTAAGCGCCTTCTGAAACCCCATCTCGCCCAGTCCTCCGGGGAGGCCCAGAGACGCCCAGGAACTGGCGGAGGTCACAAGCCGGGGAACGGCAGATCTGGGGCGGTCACTCAAGGAAGCGAGAGCACGTGAACGATGACCTGACACCTCTGACCAACAGGTCTCTGTGGGCCAAACGCCTCGTGCAGAGGTGCCAGCCGGGGGGGCCCGGAGCATCCCTGAGCCAACCTCCTCGATCAACGAGGGGCACACAAAAGACCAGAGAGGGCAGGGCACTGCTTGAGGTCACAGAATGACCAGGAACGCGGGTATGGGGGCCGCGCGCCACACAGGCACGGAGCGCACCGCGGAGGGACAGCCAAAGACGGCAGTGACTTTCTGGCCGTCTCGACCCCGTGTCAGCCAGGACTTGGTCGGAGCCAGCCCCCCGGCACCCGCGTGGGCCTCCCCACATCTGACAGGGGAGCAGCCTGGCTGCGGGCGGGGAGGGCGCGGGGAGGGCGCGGGGGCGGCACGGGGCCAAGCCCAGGCCTGCTTCCCTGGGGTCCTGGGGCCCGTGGCCCAGCTGCCTGGTGACCCCGGGTTGTCAGGGAAGCTGGGTCGTTAGTGCGGGAGCAGGGGTGGGGCGGTACCTGTGTCCGAGCTCGTGGGCCACCGTGAAGGCCAGCGGCAGGCCCGTGTCCTCGTTGATGTTGCAGCTGCGGTGCGGCTGGCACATGCCCGCCACGTGGGACAGGCCCAGGGTCTCACAGGGCCGGTTCATGGCCGCACACAGGTCCTTCCTGCGCACAGAGAGAAGTGGCCCTCAGGCTGACCCGGCCCGGTGCCAGGCCAACCCAAGCCTAGATGGCCAGGAGTGCTTCAAGAACAGATCTGCAGGGAGTAGGGGGAGGGGAGGGGAGGAGAGAGGGGAGGGGAGGGGAGGAGGGAGGGAGGAGGAGGACTGCTTCAGAACAGATCTGCAGGGAGGAGGGGGAGGGGTCTTGGCTGGGAAACCCGGCCCAGAGCTGCTTCCAGGGAACCTGTCTCCATACTGTGGAGGTGGAGGCAGGAACCCACACGTGCGGTAAAAGTGCATAAGCCACACACACGCACGCACACACGCACGCACACGCAGGCAGGGACACCTGGTGATGTTGGAGCAGTCTGAGGGCTGCACCTGCGTCCACTTCCTGGTTGTGGTTTCCCATTCTGTCATCCCTGACGCCAGCACCTGGGGCACGGGGTCGGGGGGCACTGGGTCGGGGGGCACGGGTCCTGTTTCTGATGGTTCCATGAAGACCCACAAGAGCTCCCCAAATGCTGACCGAAATCAGGCTCCAGCCAAAGTGCGAGCTCTCCCCTAACACGGGCTCCGGGGGCAGGGCCGCGCCGTCCCCCTCCTGCGGGTCAGGGAGCACCGCCCCCCAGGGCAGGCCCCCCTGGCCGCGTCGCCCCCCACAGCTGGTGGCACCTGGTGAGCAGGATGGCGGCGTCGTGGTGCAGCGGGTGCGCGTCCCCCTTCATGTTGATGCTTTTCTGCCACTTGCAGAAGCTGCGCAGGGTGTTGTCTGCGTGGTGCGTGACCTTCAGGTCTTCCTGGGGCAGAGAGGGCAGCCGCCGGTCCCTCCCCTGCGCGCCGGACGCCCAAGCCCCCTTCTCCTCCAAAGGCAGGAGACAGACGCCCAGGGGCCCGGTGAGCCCGGGTCCAGCCCCCAGTGACCACGCCTCCTGCGGCACATCCTCGGGGCAGCTGATGGAGGGCCGGCCGGGGACTGGGGGGCGACGGAGGACACTGCCCGGGCCACGGAGGCCCGCCGTGCCCTTCCACACAGGGCCGCTCGGTCACGGGCCAGGAGGGCTCTGGCAGCGAGAGGCCGCGTGCCCGCTCACCTCCTCGTCCTCCAGCAAGAGCAGGCGCACGACGGTGATGTGGATGGGGTTCCCGATGCTGGGGTCGTGAAACAGGCCGGCCACCTGCCCAAGAGAGGGGGTCAGGCCACCAGCCTGCAGAGAGGTACGGGACGGCCACTGCCGACCTCCGGCCACCCCCGGCCTCGCCCGGGGGAGCTCCCGCAGCGCACCCACACGCGAACGTGCCCCCACCTGCACGCACTCCCCGACGCGGCAACCCCGGGGTCCGGACAGAGGGCCTGCGCAGGCCAGTCCTGGGCACCAGCGTGGGAGCCGCCCACCCAGCACCCCCCCCAGGGCCCTACTTTGCCTCCTCTGCTCGTGCTGGGACAGCCCCGCAGCCTCCTCCTGCCCTGGGCTCGCCAACACCAGCATCCTAGGAGCGAGTCCTCCCGCGGGCAGGCGGCCGGGCCGGGGCTGGAGAGAGGGCGGGGCAGGGACCGGCACCCCAGGTCTGCACGGGGCTCCCCACCCAGTCCCGGGAAAGGCCGCCCCGGAGGCAGAAGGTGCACGGACACACGGCGAGATGGGAGGAGGACGCTTGCTCAGAACGAGAGGTGAGCCTGTGGAAGGCTTCAGGGTCCCAGCCAGCAGGGACAGGGGACAGGACAGGCAGAGACGGCGGGGGACAGAGACGGCGGGGGACAGAGACGGCGGGGGACAGGCCGAGATTCCAGGGTGGGGCTCACAGAGTGGGTGCGCGTGCCCTGTGAGCCCGGACAGGGAGGCAGGAAGGAGCCAGGCCCCAGGAGAGGCCATGGGGGCCAGGCGGGCGCAGCGCCCCGCCTACAGGGACACCCAGACAGGTGGGCGGAAGTGAATGGCCAGGACTCCAGCCGAGCGCGGGGCCTCTGTCAGGCTGAGCCCTGAGAAGAGAGGACCTTGGGGCCCAGGCCTCACTCATCCCCTGCCCTGGGGGCCAGGCCGTGCTGTCCCGCCTCAGTCTCCCCTCCTGAACCCTGGTCTTAAGCACCTCCCCTCACTGGGCAGAGGAGGCCGCACGAGGGGCCAGTGGGGCCTCTGAGGCCTCGCGCGCCAGGCTGTGGCTTCTATCGCACAAGGGGGGGAGCAGGTGGCCGGGTCAGGCGGGCGCTGGCCCAGGGCTTTGCCTGCCGATGAGGACGGGCCGTGGGGGTCCGAGGGCCACAGAACAGGACCCGTCCCACCCCTGAGCCCTGGCTTCACGGCTGTGAGCGGGCGGCCAGTCAGGGGCTGACCTCCTAGGTCTTCCCCAAGGGCCGCCGGAGGTGAGGGGACCTGGTGTGGGAGCCTCAGATGCCGCCCAGCCGCGGACCGCACACCCTCACTCCGTCCTCAGCACCAGCCCCGGGGAGCAGCCGTGCCGCGTGCTGGCCGCCCAGGCCCAGATCTTCCCTCTCACGGGCGGCCACAGGGGCCCAGGCTCCCGTGGGCCCTGCCCCGCCTCGATGTGTGACCCGAGCAAGTCACACACCCTCCAGGGCCCCGTTCTCTCAACAGGCGCGTGGTGTGCAGAGCCGTGTGCCGGGCCTCTGAGCCACCGTCATATCCCCAGCTCGCAGAAGAGCAAGCTGAGGCTCAGATGGGTCACGTGCCCCCCGCGCCACCAGCTCGTGGACCAGAGAACTGAACAGACCCCGAGACCTCTCACGAATGCTGGGGTCGCAGGCAGGGGCTGCGCTGACAGGGTGCTCCCCTGTCCCCAGCGCCCACTCAACCAGCCTTTGGACCAGGGTGAGTGAACGAGCCCGTCCACCATCCCCCCCTCCGGGTGGGACCGGGACCATGATGGCCTCCCAAATGCCAGCTGCACCAGCGAGGTCGCTGCACACCCGTGCGCTGCAGGCCCCGTCCCCTGCCCAGGCCCTTTCGGGGCCACTCCCCGGGCTCACCAGCCACTACTGGATGCAACAAGCCCACCGACTGCTGCCTCCCAGACCACACCCCCACGCCTCCCCCCAGCCCCCGGCCCCCGCTGTCCGCCAGCTGCCGAGCCCCCCAGGCCCCAGCCCCCGCCAGCCCCCCAGCGGCCCAGCCCCCGGCCCCCGCCGTCTGCCAGCCCCCCGGCCCCCGCCCCCCGCAGCCTCACCATGTTCATGATGGTCAGCACGTAGCTCTCGACCTGCGGCTGCCCGTGGTACTCCACCATCTTGGCGTCGGCAACCACCAGGGTCTCCACCCACTTCTCCCGGCTGACGGAGCGCTGATGCAGGCGCCTCGGGCGCCGCCGCCACTGCTGCCGCTGCTCCCAGCGCTCTCTCCGGGCCTCCGGCTCCGGGGAAGCTGTGGGCCCCGGACGGGGTGGCGGTCAGTGCCAGTCGGCTGGCCCGGGGCCTCGCGTCTCCAAGGCCTCTCCTCAGCACCAGGATCAGAGGCGAGAGGCCTGGACTCCCACTGCGGCCCCACCCCGGGGGGCTGGCGCATCCCAGCACACGCGGACCCCAGAGCCTCGCCCCCTGCCTGGGGTACCCACTCCGCCGGCCCAGGCTGCCCAGATCAGAAGAGATGGCACATCTACGAAACCAGGAAGACCGAGGCCCGGAAGCAGGGCTCTGGATGCCTGTTCCAGCCAACGGAGTCCCTGGGCTGGGGCACCTTACGAGGCTGGTGTGCCGGCCGAGCTGTCCCCAGACCCAGCAGCCGTGGCGGGCAGCTCTAACCGGGACTGGCCAGCACTGTGGCCACTGTGCCGAAGAGGGGCCAGAGATCAGTGACTCTGGGCGGGGACCAGCGTGGGGGGGAGAGGGGATCCTGGCGAACTGCCCTGGTGGCCTGGCCACCCGAGAGCTTCAGCTGCCCCAGCAGCGGGTGAGGAGTGGCTAGAGGGGTCAGTCCAGGGCACCAGCTGGGGAGGGCCTGGCAGGCAGAGGCCTCAGGCCCGTGGCACGTTTGGAAGACACAGGCCACGGTGATGTGTCTGTCAGTCTGCCTGCGTCCCTTTGGTCCAAAGGGAGATGGGCATGGAGATGCTGACAGAGGCTTCTGGAAAGGTGCTCCATGCCTCCAGGCCCATCCCCTTCCCTAGAGCAGGCGAGGGCCATACCTTGTACCCCACAGGTGCCTACAGCTCCGGAGTCCCCCGGCCCCGCCTCCCGCTCCGGGGCTTGGCGCTTGTAGACCACGTGGGGCTGGGCGTGGCCAGGACGGGCCCGCACCCCCTCCAGGGGCTCGATGAAGTAGTCCTCGTTGGAGAGCCGGAACACACCTGTCTGGGAAAGGGGCGCAGGCTCACACAGAGAGGGAGAGCAGCCTAGGGCCGTCCCACGGGTCCCCGAGGCCCGTGCCGCCCGGCCGAGCCCACGCTGCTCCCCGCACCCAGCTGCCCCCAAACCTGTGTGCTTCCCCCGCTCCGGTACTTTGTCGCTCTGCACCCTCCGCCTGGCGCGTCCCTCCCTGCCGTCTCACAGAGCCAGGGCCTCGGGGCTGAGCTCAGGAGCCACCAGCCTCCAGAGAGGCCGCACACGCCCACCTCGCCCCCCACCCCATTAGGAGGACATGGGAGCAGCCAAATCTAAGATGGCATCTTCCACACAGTCCCAGACGGCTGTTTTGAGCCGGGCAGCCTGTGTCCGGCACCCAGGCCATTTTCCATGTTCCCTGCATGCCAGCCATTGTGTCGTCCCGCAGCTGGCCGGCATCCCCATCTCCCGGAGGGGATGAATCACTCCAAGGGCAGCTCTCCCCACACCCCAGCCGCGGAGATGCTCACAGTCACCGGGACATCCTACTCCCTGGGCCCGGGGCCCTGCGAGAAGGGGAAGCCGGCAGGCGTGTCTCGGGCACATCGCCTGCATTCAGGGCGCGGGAGAGGGAGGGGCCGTGGGAAACGTCTCTGGGCAGCCCGCCTCCTCCCGAGGACGCTCAGGGCTCCGTCAGGGAAGCATCCCCTGCAGCCCCCTGCCCCTTGGGCTGCCTGGGGTCAAGAGCCCCGAGTGCCAGAGAACTGCCTCCCCCGCTAGAAGGGCTGGAGACCGGTGTGAATGTGGACTCCAGCACTGGGGGGCCCTGGGCCAGTCCCCCTCCGAGCCTGCTTCCTCGTCTGGTACCGGGACTGACACGCATATGTGCAGCTGCTGCAGATCCAAGGACACTGATGAGAAAGGGCAGGTGGGCGCTCGCAGGTCTGACGACCCGCAGCTGTGCTGTGGGCTCTCCTTAGGCCTGTCCTGCTACAGCCGCGGGCGCCTCCTGAGCAGTCTCAGCTGAGAGCCCTCCCTGGGGTACCCACATCCCCACCCCCACCGGGGGGAGGGCAGGGCAGGTCACCCAACCCGGGGCACCCCAGCCAAGGGAGACGACCACAGCGGCAGGCAGCATCACATCCACCCGAAGGCCTGCCCCCCTGGGGCAGGGGACAGGTGAGGGCACGGCCCAAAGGGCTCTGCGGGGGGCACAGTCATAACTGAGGTCGCAGAGGAACAAGGACCACGCGGCTCCGGGAGCTGCCGGCCCTACACAGGGCTCTCCAAGTCCGCGCTCTGCTCCAGACACGCACACCCACTGTCCGGCTCCGTGTTAGCAGGGCCCGCGGGCGCTCGGGCTCCCCGAGGCCAGGCCGGCCCGCGCCCCCTCACCAGCCCGGAGCCGCCCCGCGCCCCCTCACCAGCCCGGAGCCGCCCCGAGGCCGGGCCGGGCCCCGCGCCCCCTCACCAGCCCGGAGCCGCCCCGAGGCCGGGCCGGGCCCCGCGCCCCCTCACCAGCCCGGAGCCACCCCGAGGCCAGGCCGGCCCGCGCCGACTCACCAGCCCGCCGCAGGCGCTGATGGCCGCCAGGCCGCCCCGCAGCTGCGGGTCCCGCACCTCGCCGAGCAGGTGGCAGGCGGGCGCGCGGGCGCGGATGTGCGCGCGCCCCAGGCCGCCGCGCCGCCGCGTCTCGCTCACGAAGCCGGGCGCCAGCAGGCGGGCGTTGGCGGTCAAGTTGAAGCGCAGCGGGCGCCCGCGGTACAGCAGCTCGTAGAAGGCGCGCGCGGCGCGGCGCGCGGACACGTCCCGCTTGCGCAGCGCGCGTGGCCACAGCTCGTACGACACGAAGGCGCCGCCCGCGTCCACGCGAACCGGGTGCACCACGTCCAGCGCCGCGCGGCCGTCGGCGCCGCGTCCTGCGGGGAGAAAACCGGGCGCGGCCGGGGCTCAGGGCGCTGCCCCGCCCTCCTCCGCGTGCAGCCCCGCACCCCGCAGTGGCCGCGTCCCTGGAAGAGGCAGCGCTCTGCAAAGGGCCCCTGAGGCCATGGCAAGGTCACCCCTCAGCCTCACCCCGGCCACACCTGCGTCCGCCCCCTGGGGTGCAACACGCGGCGCGGGGTCTCCTTCAGGCCCCGCTCAGAGGTCTCACGCCGCTTCCCCGACCGCTTTAGTGTAAAACTCACTGGCCTCCGGTGTCCCTGCTTTGCTTTGTCTGTTCCCCACAGCACACGGGACATGCCACCTGCGTACCCTTTCAATCATTCTTTTCTCTCCGCCTATTTTCTCCCAACGCAAACTCCAGGCAGGCGAGAACCTCTATGGTCTTTGTTGGAGACCTTCTGGGCCAGGGGGTCCTAGGACTCTGAGCACTTAAGACTTAGTCTCTCGGGGAGTGAGTGACCCTGCAGAACCACCTGCTCCCTCAGGGCTGGCGGGAGGGCCAGTGACCTGGCCACCGCATGCAGCAGTGCCTGGCCCGCTGACCCGCCGGCCCGCAGTCACGGCCGGGGGACTGGATAGCCTGGTGGACTTCAAAACGGGCCCTCAGTTGCCTGAGGGTTCTGCACGTCCCTCCCCGCCTCCTGCGCCGGGGAGACCACCCAGATGGGTGGCTCCCCTTCAGCAGAGCAGCTCCGGTTCATTTGAAGAGAAGGTCCCAGCCCTGGAAGATACCTGCAGACCTTAGCAGAACCTGTCCTCTCAGATTTCCAGCCAACGCCAGATCCCCAGCCTTTTCGGCCACGGACCCCTCCTCAGAATAACACTTTCTAATGCATAAGGTGCAAATGAGTGCCAGGAAAACCGATTATACTGAAACACAGTTATCAAAATAATGTTAGAAGTGGGATATAGAATTACATGCTCTTCGTGAACGCATTAAGCAAGATCTAAGGGCAACTTTACGGTAATTTTGAAGTGACGAGAACCAACCTTATCTCGATACCTGCGACCGTGATGAGAGAACGACATTTTGGTTTTTTGCCCCGATAACAAACTCACAGGTGCTGCTAACACCACTGTGCTTTGGTGCCAATGCGCGTACTTGAAGGAAAGGCAAACTGAGGTAATAAACTTGAAGATTTAGATCTTCCCATCCAAGTTCATGCATCCTTTCCGGTCTCCCCATGTCCCTGGGGCTGCAGGAAAGTCTGCAGACCACTTGTAAAGAAGGTAAAGGGAAGTTCAGAGACGTGCACTGCCGGCCTGAAGCCACACAGCGAGAGCGATTGAGCAGAGACCAGGCTCCAGGTTTTCCAGGAGGCTCCGGGCTCTTCAGGAAAACGGCTGTACATTCCCGACAGTCAGTCCCGTCTCCCGGCCACTGACAGGAAGGAGCTGCACTACATCAACTTCTTCAGTCTTTAGCTACCAGACCTAGTCTTCAAAAGAAATGTCATGTGGACGCAGACACAGCAGAGCAGCGCCGCGGGGGTGGGGGCAGGGACGCGGGGCTGCCGCTCCTGTCCTCTCCACGCTCTGCAGTTTCCAGGCTCTGGGGAACAGTCAGGAACTGGCCCATGTGACGTTTCTCCCAGCCCTGCGTCCTGCCCTGACCATCGGAATCCCAGCTGCTCAGGACGGTGGCCCCTCGGGCAATAGGCGTGCCCAGGCCCCCTGCAGAGGGCGCACCAGGGCTCCCTCTGTGGCTGCCGCGAAGTCCGGCCAAGCTGCAGAAACCTCTCGCCCGATCCCACCAGACCACGTGCAGAGCGCCCCGCACACAGCAGCGGCGCACCCCTGCGGAGGACAGGTCGCACTGCCCACCAGCGCGTGCCAGCCCTCGGGGGCAGCCCAGGGCGCGTTCTCAGGCGAGAGGCAGACGCGCCGGGTGACCCAGGGCGGTTCTGGGCAAATCTTCCCTCCCTGGGTCCTGGAGGACACTCGTGCGAGGATTTTCCAGACTTCTCGGGTAAGAATTTGCTAGACACGAATTCCCAGGCCCCATCCCCACTGAATCAGCATCTCCAGGAAATGGGACCAGGAAGCTGGGTTTTCACCCAGAGCCTCAGGGGACCGCGCTCATCAGGGAAGTTAGACGATTTTGCGGGGGGGGGGGGTGCCCTTGGCGGAGCCGCAGTGGGACGGACGGCTGGGACAGGCTCAAGAGTGCAGAGGCCCGGGACCGGCCGGAGACAGACCCCAGGCCCGGGCCCTGGCACCCCTCCGTCTGTATTTTCTGCATCTTCCCGATCCTTCCGGGGACTCTGACGTAACCTAGCACGGTTTGAGGGAGGCTCCTTCTCTGACGTCCTAAAAGTGCCTTTGTGGCTCCAGCTTCACAGCCACCGCCTGCAGACTTGTTTTCTGTGGGCTTATTGATCCTGTCAGTTCACTGTCGCTTGCATGGATTTTGGAAACATTTCACCGGTCGCCTTTGTTTAAAAATTATGATATTGTACAAAATTTTCAGTTTTCAGCTTTTCTTGAAAAGCCGTATCATCCATCCCCTTCAGGCCTAAATTCCCACGTAGCAGAAGGGGGTGGAGCAGGGACCCCACCTGGGAGAGGGCCCCCACCCCCCACCGGCCTGCCCCACGGCCCCGTATTGTGTCCCCAACTTTAAAGGCAGGTTGCCTTTGGCCTCACAGTTATGCTGTCTTTCAATGACCAAAGAAGTCGATTTGTAACAAAGACGGGAGAACAGGAGCTGGTCCCCCACCGTGTTTGCCCTCTCGCCCCGTGCGTGGTAGTTGGGGTGTAGACGCTGACCCTCATTGTGAGGGAGAGTGGGGTGCTCCAAAGTCCAGGAAAATGCACAGGACACCGTCCTTCCCCTCAAATCAGAGACATGGGCAGAGGGCACTCATGGTCCTCGCCCCGGCCCTGTGCTGAGAGGCCCCGGCCAGGGGAGGGGACGCCGCAGAGCAGATGGAGATGAAGACAAGCCTCACCGGAGAGGGCAGCGTGCGAGGCGGACGACACACACAGGGTCCTGGCTGTGGACGCCGTGCGACGGACCCCGAGAGTGCGAGATGCCACAGGTGCAGGCAACACAAGACAGTAAGCTCTGCCACGCGTGCGTCTTGTGAAATGAGATGACCGAGCGAAAAGATCGTGCACGGTCAAGACTGTGGCTTTGGACAGAGAAAGGTTCAGGCCCCAAGCCAGCCGCACAGTGGCTGCTTCCTGGGCGGTCACCATCTGCTGCACCAGGACTTGCTCACCAGCACGGACAATCCAGGTCGGGAACGGAAGGAGGGCCCGGGACAGACAGGTGGGCAAGAGGGCTACATCCCAGGGTCTGAGGAGGCTCCCAGGCTTGGGCGGCCATGGCCGAGGCCACTAAAGACCGTAGGCAGTCGGGGCGCCCGGGTGGCTTAGTCAGTTAAGCGTCTGACTTTCGCTTGGGTCATGATCTCGCGGTTCGTGGGTTCGAGCCCCGCGTCGGGCTCTGTGCTGACTGCCAGCTCTGAGCCTGGAGCCTGTTTCAGTCTGTGACTCCCTCTCTCTCTGACCCTCCCCTGCTCACACTGTCTCTCTCTCTCTCCTAGAAATAAATAAAACATTAAAAAAAAAAAAAAAGACCGTAGGCAGTCACAGCAGGGCGGCTAGAGCGGCTGGGGGTGAGGGTGCGCAGTACAGGTGGCGCCCCCGCTGACGGCTGTTGGCGTGTGATGGGGAGAAAGCCCCAAGCACTCACAACAAGTGTCCCTGGGGAGGGACCCGTGTCCCTGGGAGGTGCAGTCCTGCTAAGAATCCCTGCTCTTGACCCTGGGCAAACTCCGCAAGACAGATTCAGGGCAAGTTACCCAGGAGCAGTCTGTTAAATTCAAAACTGCGATGAGGGCCAAGGAGAGAGACAGGCAGGGAACCGGCCGCAGGATCGGTGCTCAGAGCCAGACCGCCCGGCCGGGAGCTCGGCTCCGCCCCCCGCACCTGTTAGCCGGGGTGGAGGGACTCCAGCACCAGACTCCGTTTCTCCCTCTGTACAATGGGGACGATATCATCGGACCTGCTCTCTCTGGCTGTGGGAGAGCCCGACGGGCTGGCACGCAGGTGCCGAGGACGCAGGAGGCACACTCATCACACGCAGCCAGGTTGTAACTGAAAATTAGCAGGAGCCGCTCTAAAGCATACTCCACTATTTCTTAAAAGCTTGTTTTATCTCTTTGCCTAATGGCTGAAGAAAATACGTTTTAATCAAGAAAGAAAAATAGAGGCTCCTGGGTGACTCAGTGGATCGAGCATCAGACTCTTGGCTTCAGCTCATGTCATGATCCTGCGGTTCTGAGTTTGAGACCCGTGTTTTCTCTGCACTACTAGTGTGGCACCTGCTTGGGATTCTCTCTCTCCTCTCCTCTGCTCCTCCCCTGCTCATGCTCAAGCTCTTTCTCGCTCTCTCAAAATAGATAAAATTAGTTTAAAAAAAAAGAAAAATATTTATAGGAAGTTAACTCTGCCACAATTTTTATTTTCTTCTTTTGTTCTGCACTAATTATTTTTGTAATTAACTTATATTGTTTTGCCATTAAAATATGACATAAACGGGCAGAGTGTTACAAAGCAAACAACTCTTTCAAGGCCTCCTAAAGCCGACCCCGGTGGAGACCCAGTGGCTAAAACTAGCGCCGCCCAGCGCTTTCAAGGGGAAATTGCGGGCTCCAGTCTCTTAAAAGGCACGTGGGGACACTGGCGCTGGGCAGAGGGATACGTGCGGGCACGTGCAGCCAGATGGCCACTGGTTCCCTGCCAAGGCCCTCTGCCGGGTCAGGAGCTCTGTTCCGGGTGTTAAATACTTTGAATATCATCCCTAGGTGACAGAACTGTCACTTTGCAGCCTCTACCAGAGAAATGCCACCAGGGTGTTTACCCTCACCTCTCTATCAAGAACCAGAGTTACAGTCCAGCCCTTGAAACGACCTGACCCAAAGCTCATGCCAAAGGTAAAAATCAACGAGGGTGTGTGTGTGTCCGCGGGGGTCAGACTCATCCTCCTCAGGTCTGCCTGGGCGTGCCCGCCATGCACACGTGTACGTGCACACACAGCTCACGTGTGCAGTTCAACGTTTTGGTGGGCACGTTACAGGGCCCCAGTGCCAGCAACCCCACAAATCCCTTTATTTGTCACAGAAGAAATCAGGCTACGCCTTCCTAGAAGTGCGCCCAAGATACGCCCTTCTGGTCTCAAAGAAGCTAGTGTTCAGTGGGTGGAGGTCTAGGACGTCTGGGCAGCTCTAAAGACCAGGATACAGCTCCGCAGCCCCGGGCCCCAGCCCCCGGAGCGGGTGCAGAATCCGGAGGCCCCTGAGATGTACCCACGGGGACCCCAGAACAGACGTTCCACGGGGGGGGGCACATTAGACGGGAGGAGGTCCCTGCCCTGTGTCCACAGGACCCACCAAGCTCTCCCCAGTCTTACTGGTTCTCTGTGGCATTAACGAAAATGACCACCACATGGTAGTTGGTCACTCTGCCCTGTGCTAAGCAACTGACAGCATCTCAGTCCTGGCGAGACCCCGGTGAGGGAGGTACCCCTGTCCCCACTTGACTACAGCCCTGGAGGCGCAGGAGGCTGGCCAGCTTCACCCATGGGTCTGGCTTCCAGTGCGGTGGAGACGGTCCTGGCTCCCCATTCTTCCCACAGCTGCCAGGGGGCCTGGACCAAAGTCCCCTGGGGCAGTCACTTCCGGCGGCCTCCTCCCCCCCCCCGCTGGTCAGTCCCGTGGGTCCCCGCCCTGGGCAGGGGGACAGGACTCTGCAGTAGCTAAGCGGCGACCTGGCAGGCCACCCTCCTCTCTGACGGGTCGCATTCTGTCACCTGCCTGCAGGGCTGCTGAGGACTGAGGACAAATGGGACCTCCTTAAATAGCTGCTCTCTCTCCACCCCACACACAGGCTGCTAGAGGGAATCTCCCTAAAAGCCTGCTTTCCTGAGCTACTCCCCTCAACGGCTCCCCAAAATCTCTAAGATCTGATGTAAATGCCTCCTCCTACACCCCGCCCCGGGCGCTTTTCTAATCAGTCCCCTACTGGGGAGGCAAGAGTGGGCGATGCCCAGCACGCAGGCCGCACGGCCGGGCCCCGCCGCGGGGACGCCCCCACCCTGCAGCCCGCCCAAAGTTCATCCCTCCCCGGTCCCTCCGGGCTTTGGCCCCTCCTGCCCGCTCGGCCCGCGTGGCTCTCTCCCGGCTACCCGCCCGGCCCCCACTAGACCGGGGCTCCCCGGGCGCAGGGCCAGGGGTCCCCTAGACCCTCGGCTCCGACCTGGGCCGGCGGCCGCGGACGCGCCCGGAGCTCCGCGGCCGAGCGAGGGCCTGGACTCTGGCCAGAGGCTCGTCGGAGGCAAGCCGGGCGGGGCGGGGAGAGCCGAGCCCAGGCCGGGAGACCAGCTCCCCTCCGCTGCCCTCCGGGGCGCCCGGGCGCCCGCACACTCGGGGGAGGGGGACAGGAAGTGCGGGGGTCGCGCGAGCAGGGCCCCCAGCGCCGCCGACCCCGCGCTCCGGCCCGCTGAGCGCGGGCGGCTGCTCCGCGGACCCGGCGCCGGTCACGGTCCGCACCGAGCCCTCCGCGCGGGGACCAGATCCCGGCGGGGGAAGGGGGGGAGCCGTGCCCTGCGCCCGAGGGCAGAGGGGCTTCCTCCGGGCACGGGCAGGGGGCGCCGGCCGCGCGGCTTGACCCCACGGCCGCTCCGGGTCCGCAGTGCCCCGGACGCGCGGAGGTGGGGGGCGCGGGGCCGGCCGGCGGGGAGGGGCGGCCACCCACCTGGTGCGGGTCCGGGGTCGCCGGGCGCCACCGCGCAGAGCAGCAGGAGCAGGGGGCGCAGCCGCGGCGCGGGGCTGCGGGGGCCGCGGGCGCTGGGGCGGCGGGGCATGGCAGGGGCGGGCAGCGCCGGGGCCCCCGCGCGCGCTCCCGTCCGTCCCGTCCGCTCGCTGCCCGGTCCGGGTCCGGCTCAGGACATGCCGGGCCCTCGCGCCGCTCCCGCGTCGGGGCCCGGCCAGCGGCAACAAAGGCTGCAGGGCCCGCCCCCTCGGCGGCGCCGGAGGCTCCGGGGACCCAGGGCCCGACGGCGAGAAGGAAAGAAAGAAAGAAAGAGAGGAGGGGAGCGAGGGAGGGCGGGAGGGGGCCGCGCGGCCGCCCGCCCCGCCCCGCCCCGCCCCGCCCGAGGCCCCGCCCCCGCCACCCCGCGGGCCCCGCCGGCCGCTGTTTGGGGGCGGGCCCGGGGCTGGCCGCGCGCCGCGCCCCCCGACGGCCCGGACCGCCCCGCCGGGCCGCGCGCGCCCTCTGGCGGCGGAGCTCAGCCGCGCCTCTTGGCCGCGACCCTCCGAGTCCCCAGAAGCAGCTGGAATTTCCGGAATGCGTCTTCCCTGAACTGCGCTCCCTGCGCCCGGCAGGGCGGTGGAGGCCTTCCAGGGACCCCAGGGTGGACCCTGCTCCAAAGCAGGCTCAGGAGGGAGGCCCGGCCCGTGGGCGGCGGCTCCCCGCGAGGCTGGTCCCGCAGCCCTAGCCTCCAGGCTCAGTCCTGCACGGCCTTCAGGTTGGCGTGGGGCGCAGCAGGGTCCCCCGAGCCTGGAGGCCGGCCGGCCGCAGGCGCGCGCCCAGCCATCCGTCCTCGGTGGCCGCAGCCCTTCCCCGGGGGCGGGCAGGGGCCTTCGCTAAGCCTGGCCCTGCCCAGGGAGCTCCGCGTGTTCGTGGGGACGGCGGCGGTCAGCCTCCCTCCGCGGACCAGCCCTGGCAAAGGCCGCGCCCCCCTCCGCCCGGGCCCTGCACCTTCAACCCTGCTGTCCCCCAGGGGACCCCGGTAGCACGTGGCCTTGACGTCATTTCCAGTGGCTTCCCTCCACCTGTGCCACCGGCTCCCAGGGCCTCAACCTAGGCTGTGTCCGCCCACCTGTCCCGCCTCTGAAAACAGGATCAGACGCTTGACCTTCAGACGGGATCCTGCATCTTTCCCGCCCTCCCCAAAGCCTCATAATTACACTGTGTTTTCCTTCTGCGGTTCCTCGTCACCTTCTCCCTCTCCCCACCTACCGGCCCTCTGGATTCACCTGACTGCTTTCCTAGCCACATGCACTGCTTGACCCCTGCCCCCCACCTCCGATTCCCCCCACACACACACCACCACACCCTGCCGCACACACCTCGCCCCATGCACCAAGCACCCAGAAGCCTCCAGCCTCTGCACACAGCAGGGGGCAGGCCCCTCAGGCGAGGGAGGCAAACGCTCCGGCCAGGGCTGCTCTGTGCTCTCCCTGCTTCCCAAGGACCTTGCTCTGGGTGCCTGGTCCCCACAGCTGGTGACCTCAATCTACAGCATTCTGCCCTCCCTCCCTTGAAAGGCACTGATACTACCCCTCCATGGCCGGGGTGCTCCTCTGCTCCCCTTCCCAGCCCCACTTCTCCTGGGGCATCTAGACTTCTCCCCCCCCCCCCCCCCCCCCCCCCCCCCCCCCCCCCCCCCCCCGTGCCCCAGGCTCACCCATCCTGCAGCCTCCGTTCTGGTGCAAGGGCCCCTAGGGCCCCTCCAGTCTTTCTCCCAACCTGCCCTGAGCATCCCAAAGGTGCCCCCACCCCGCTCTGCCCCCATCCACCAGTCATGGCACCAACCACATGGAATGGCCGCCATTGCTCACGGGGTCTGTCAGTCCCACCCACTGTGAGCGGTCAAGTCAGGTCTTACTGGCCTTTGTGACCTGGCCCCCCAGCACAGTAAACCCGAGAAACCAAGAGGATCCACAGAGGGGACACACAGACACAGCTCCCCCCGCCCCAGGGCAGCCCAGGAGCGTGTGTCTTTTTTTTTTTTTAATTTTTATTGTTTTTATTTATTTTGGAGACAGAGGAAGACAAAGCATGAGCAGGGGAGGGGCAGAGGGAGGGAGACACAGAATCTGAAGCAGCTCCAGGCCCCGAGCTGTCAGCACAGAGCCCGACGCAGAGCTCGAACCCACAAACTGCGAAATCATGACCTGAGCCCCCAGGCGCCCCTGGAGCATGTGTCTTCAAGCCTCGGGCTGACAGCAGTCCACACCTGCTTCAGTTCAGGCTGAGCCCTGACCTGCGCTCTGTGCACACCCTGTGTGCCTTCTCCGCGCCCCTCCTAACAAACATGCTGGACACACAAGGCACAAGGCATGGTGAGGCTTAGTCTGCACTCACGACATGAGTAATAACCCAGCTGGAAGAACCCCCCAAATTCTGGAGGGCCAAGAGTGCATTCTGGAAGGCAGCTATGCTCGCCACTTATCACCAGCGCTGCACACGAGTACATTTTGAACAAAGCAAGAGATTTGATTTTGCAGTATGTTTGATGTGATTGTAATTGTCCAATTAAAGAGTCCCTCTCCCTAATCTTGACAGAGAATATTTTATTAAAAATTTTTGATGTTTTGGGGCGCCTGGGTGGCTCAGTCGGTGGGGCGTCTGACTTTGGCTCAGGTCATGATCTTATGGTTTGTGGGTTCGAGCCCCGCATCGGGCTCTGTGCTGACAGCTCGGGGCCTGGAGCTGTTTGGATTCTGTGTCTCCCTCTCTCTCTGACCCTCCCCTGTTTATGATGTGTGTCTCTCTCTCAAAAATAAATAAAACATTTAAAAAAATAAAAATTTTTAATGTTTTATTTATTTTTTGAAGGGGGGGTAGGAGGGGCAGAGTCAGAGGAAGACACGAAATTGGAAGCAGGCTCCAGGCTCAGAGCTGTCAGCAGAGCCCGACGTGGGGCTTCAACTCACCAACAGTGAGACCGTGACCTGAGTCAAAGTCGGACACTCAACTGAGCCACCCAGGTGCCCCGAGATTAAATGATCACTGTGCTAAGCACCCCAACATCCCCAGTGAGATTTGCCTTTGCTGAAACCGTACCAGAAACTGATCAAACTAAATGAGAATCTAAATGTATTCTGCTTCTAGATATCCATTTATATATTGAGAGATTGTTTACTTTTTTAAAGTTTTATTTATTTATTTTGAGAGAGAGTGCAATGGGGGGGGGAGAGAGGGAGAGAGAGGGGGAGAGAGAGAGAGAGAGAGAGAGAGAGAGAATACCAAGCAGGCTCCTCACTGTCAGCAGAGAGCCTGATGCAGGGCTTGAACTCACCAACCGTGGGATCTTGACCTGAGCTGAAATCCAGAGTCAGATGCTCAAGTGACTGAGCCACCCAGACGCCCCTATCAATAGGTTGTTTAAAAGGTAGTAAGTACAGGAGAGCACTGGCCATTTAAAATTATAAACGAATAGGTAATAATAAGATGAGGCACACAATTTTTTAAATTTTTATTTATTTTTGAGAAGCAGAGAGAGAAATAGCGTACAAGCGGGCGAGGGGCAGAGAGGGCGACACAAAATGTGAAGCAGCTCCAGGCTCCCAGCTGTCAGCACAGAGCCCGACGCGGGGCTTGAACCCACGGACCGTGAGATCATGACCTGAGCCGAAGTCGGACGCTCAACCGACTGAGCCCCCCAAGTGCCCCAAAGCACACAATTTTTAAAACTTTAATAAAAACCCTGGGCTTCAGCTTTCTTATCCGGCTGACGGAGACTGCTCCCCTACTTCACGTGTTTCCTGGAGCAATCCTCCTCAGCCAGGGCTGACCTCACCTCCATGGAATTTTGCTATGTCTGGAGACATTTTCGGTGGTCACAGCCAAGGGGGGAGGCGCCATCGGAGACTGGTGGGTAGAGGGTAAGGATGCCACTATCCGTCCTGCGGTACACAGGACAGTCCCCGACACAAACGACTGTCCGGCCCCGAATGTCACCAGTGGGAAAGCTGGTCTGGTGGATTGACTAGTTTGGAGGCGCACGGCAACCTAAGAGGCCTTACGTTTTAGTGATGTTTCACTTTGCGTGGTTTGGTAAGGCGGGCGCAGGGTAAACATTCAGACTTCACAAACAGCGCAAAGGACTCTTCCTCCCGAAGCTGGTCCCTGGCCCCTCATTGCTCCTTCCCGGCGGCCGTTTCTGCCCCCGTTTCTCACGAACCCTTTCAGGGGAGGTGTCCGCAGACACACAGTCGCACTCACACGTGGGGCAGCACACACCCCCTCCTGGCTGTCTTCACTTAGATGCAGTGGAGAGCCGGCTGCCGGGCGGGCTTGCGGGCCTGCCCGGGCCTTGAACAGGCTCCCCGCACGTGGGACGCAAACCAGAGCGTGAGTTCCACCGAGGCGGAACCCTCTGTCTTACCCACGGACGTGCTGTGAGCACCCTCGTTTTGCTGGGACTGCCTCCTGTGCCCGCGGGGAGGGCATCTGCAAGCTGAAGTCCGCACGTGTTGACGACATGTGCTGTGTGTTCGTGACCTTGACGGGTAGGTGTGGTCAAACCAAAGGCACTGCGGTGAGCTCCTTCCCCGCACGCAAACTGCGAGAGTCGCAAAGACAATTTTAAATGCTAGTGTAGGGGGCAGACTGTTAAACGAGAACGCCCCCCAGCCCCCCAGAGGGTGGGGAACGGGGCTAAGAGGCGGCCTTGGAAATGCCCGGGTCGGCTGGCTGAGCCCCCGGGCCTGCCGAGCTGCTGCTCCCTGGAGGGCCGTCCCCTGCGGGCCCTGAGCCAGCAACTGGGCAGAGGCCAAGCGGGACATCGAAGGAGCATGCATCCCGCGACGCCTCGCCTGCCGCGAGCAGGGTCACCACCGTCCTTGTCATACAGGCGGAAAAGCGGCCGCGGACACGGGGTGCCGTCGGCCAAAGGTCCCAGACGTGGAGGTGCCGGGGCCCGGACTGGCCTGCTTGCGGCACCTGGGTCCCTGACGGGGGCTCGTTCTGCCTCCCCAGATGGCCAGTCAGGGCTTGTCCCCAAGGGTCCATGTTGTGGCTCCTGCTTCTGGAACCGTCTCTGTCAGACGCTCGACGTGTGGGAAACGGGCCACTTCCTTTCCCCGAGTCTTCCATTCACCAGCGCCTCCCGAGGGCCGGGTGCCCAGAGCCGTGCCGACTCCCGAGGGACCCCGGTGACGGCCACTGCGCTGTCGCCTGCCGTCAGCTCTCACCTTCACCCCAGGAGCCCCCAGAGTGCCAGGGCCAGGTGTCCGGGGCTGGCGCCCCCCAGGCCCCAGGGAGGGGCTGCTGCCTGCAGATCCAAGCGGCTCTGGAAGTGAGCTGCGCGCCCGCCTGAGCCGGGCAGACCCAGCCCCTCTCAGCTCTCGCCGCCCCTCGCTCTGCAGCCGCTCATCACCTCCGTGCTTTCTTCTCCCTCACGCCCTCCCTTCAGCAGTGGCTGTTCCATATCCCTGTATCTGGAAAAAATTTGAAAACATTTTATGGTTTTCTGTTGCCTTATATGAGGGCCTGGGAGCTTTCTGCTCATTTATCCTTTAACATTTTTTTCATGTACTTTATTAACTTTTGTAAATACTTGTTTCAAAGTTTAAAAACCAGAATCTCGGGGTGCCTGGCTGGCTTAGTCTCCTGATTTTGGGGTTGTGAGTCCAAGCCCCACGGTGGGTGGTGAGATTATTTAAAAATAAAATCTTAAAAAAAAAAAAAGAAACATAATCTTTGCTGGTAATAAAACCCTGCATAAAATAGATTATATGAGTCGTTTTTCGTTTTCTTTTCTTAATCAATAAATCGTTTCTCTCCTTTATTTACCCGACAAATACTCACACGTGCTGCCTGCTGTGGGGCCTGGAGGAATAAAAACAGCACAAGCCTTATTATGAAATTGCTCCCGCCAATGTTAAAAATGGAGCTGGTTATATAATTTGGGGGTTGGGAAGAATACTTTAAAGATGAAATCAACAGCAAAATCTGTAAGGGGGAAAAAAGGGAATAGATGTGCCTACATTCCCCAGATTATCAAACTCCACAAATCCAACATTCACCGAACGGGAGACCTGGAAAGATCAGAGAAAACACAGAAGACCAGCAAGTAAGTGACACACGGACCCTCCTCCCAAGGGAAGCACCTAAGCTCCCGGCTCGGAAGTTTCCTGGCCTCTGCACGGTGCAGAGAGCACGAAAAGCCGCACCAGGACACAGCATGGCTGCGCCCCTGTGACCCGCTCCTGGGCACTAGAGAAAGCCATTGCCAGAGTCTCCAGAGAGGGGGCACCGGTCGCAGAGACCGCGGCGTAGATGGCGGGGAGCCCTGTCCGCGAGCCTGGAAAGAAGGAGGCGGCACCGCGCTGCCTTCGAAGTTCTGACTAAACGGTTTCTGACCCGGCGCTCAGTCCTCCCGGCCTTTCACTGTGTGCGAAACATAATCAGAGACAAACCCAAGTCTGAGTGCAAGGGGGCCTCTCTGCAAAATGGGTGAATGTTCTGGAAAGACTACGGAGCATTGCCCAGAATCAGAGGGGAGCACAGGAGGCTCTGGGGGGCGGGGAGAGCAAGTCCCCAGCTAGGCTGATGGGCCCTGCACCCGCCCCCCTGCCCCCACCTCAGCCCCCCCTGCTCACAGCTGCTACTCTTATTCCTGAACTAACAGGGGCTCCTAGGAATGTTCTAGCTAACCCTCGAGCAGCCCTCCGAGGTGAGCATTACTCTCCAACTCCCGGGTGAGCAGAACATCAGTCGTGAACGAGCTCACACGTAACCACGGGCAGGGCTCGGAAGGATGTGTCTGCGCGGGGCCAGGCTCCGGAGTCACGTTTCCCTGGCACGGAGCCAGAGCTTGGTCCAAGTCCACGTGGTGCGGGAACACCGGAGGAATGTCCGCCCTCCCCGGAAAGTACCAGAGCCGACACCCCAGCACCCCCGGGGCCCTTCTCCCCTGCCACACTTGCCAAGGTTTTGGGGATTTGCTGATTAATTTGCACAGAGAACCAAGTAATTCATGGTCATTGTTTAAAGAAGCAAATGGTGCCACAGACGCAGAGGCTGGAAAGCAGCCGACTCTGCCCCTACCTCCCCCAGCACACGCACACCACGTGCACCCACAGCCTGCACACGCACACCACGTGCACACGCACACCACGTGCACTCAGCCTGCACACACACACCACGTGCACACGCACACCACATGCACACACAGCCTGCACACGCACACCACGTGCACCCACAGCCTGCACATGCACACCACGTGCACACGCGCACCACGTGCACGCACAGCCTGCACACGCAGACCACGTGCACACGCACACACACAAATCACGTGCATGCGCACTGCACGCACAGCACAGGGACACCCCGTGCTGCAGGGGCTGTGGCTGGAACGGCGCTCCTGAGCTCGCCCGTTCAGTGGCTTTGGCCTGCTGCGCCCTGCTTCCCAGCCGGCGCGCTTCCTGTGGGCTCCCGACGCCCAGCCTTTGGGGACGGTGTCCCTGAGACCTTCCTAGCACCGCGGAGCAGAGCAGGGGCCCTGGGAGGGCGAGGAGGACCCGGCAGGGCTGCGGGCAAGAACCCAGAAGCCCCGTGCCCTGCGACACGGCCACCCTGAACCCCTCTGCGGCCGAATTATCCCCAAGGGGAAAGACGAACCCTGGCCACATCGCTGTGAAAAATGATCTATGGAAGTGCTATTTTTTCATTATAGTAACAATAGCCAAGAGACTGGTTTTAGAAAATAAGATTTGAGGTACCCGGGTGGCTCAGTCAGCTGAGCGTCCGACTTCTGCTCAGGTCATGATCTCACGGTTCGGGGGTTTGAGCCCCACATCCGGCTCTGTGCTGACGTCTCGGAGCCTGGAGCTGCTTCAGATTCTGTGTCTCCCTCTCTCTCTGCCCCTCCCCCTGCTCACGCTGTCTCTCTCTCAAAAATAAACATTAAAAAAAATTTTTTTTAAGAAAATGAAATGTATGCCCGCCTGCGCCCCTCTCCCTCCGGAACTGCTTCCTGCAGGGTGGTTCTGGGCGGGTTCCGGAGATGCCATCAGAGCGGCCAGGGCAGGCGCGAGGACAGCTCAGTGCCCTCCCGGTGAGGACAACCAGCCTCACTGGGGTTGTGACGTTGGAGGAGGTGGTTCTTGTGAAAATCCTGGCCCCGGGCCTGCACACCTGAGGTGCTCCACGGAGGAGTGGGACAGTGTCCCTCCCCCAGCCACAGCGAGACCCCTTCCCCCGAATCCTGCGCTTTCTGGAACACTCCCACCTTCCTGGGGGATGCACTTTGCAGCACACACACCTCACTGCCCCCAGCTCCGCCTGCCTGGGATCCGGAGGGGGTCTCCTCACAGCCACAGCCGGCCTGACCAGGCGTGCTCCGGAGTGCTCCCGTGAGGAGTCGTGCAGGCCCGGCTTGCCCCTCCCTACTTGCCCCCCCACCTCTGCCCCCAGCATGGTCTCCGTCCCTCACTCAGCTCCTCGTCGTCTGTGCTCCCTTACGCCCGTGAGCCCTTGGAGTGGGACTGATGCTGGTCCGGCTCTGTCTGCATCACGAGGGAACGGACAACGTCTCCAAAGCTTCCGGGCCGCAGTCCTTTACTGACCCCTGTGCGACACGCTCTGCTTCTGGGACGGGCGCTGGTTGCACGGGTGTGTCTGGCCTGTGAAAACCCATCATCGGGACACTTAGGACATGTGGGCATGTGTGTGGACATCACATTTCACTCAAAAGTTTGGTTTGGGGCAGGAGGGGGGCGGGGGGGGCTGGGACGCCTGGGTGGCTCAGTCAGTTGAGCATCTGATTCTTGATTTCGGCTCAGGTCGTGATCCCAGGGTCATGGGATCTACCCCCATATCGAGCTCCCTGCCAAGCATGGAGCCCGCTTAAGATTCTCTCCCTCTCCCTCCCTCCCTCCCTCCCCCCTCTCCCTCCCTCTGTCCCTTTTTCCTGCTTGCATTCTCTCTCTCTCTCAAAACACATACATACATTTTGATCCCAGGGTGATGAGGAGGAGAACTAAGGTGGGCTGGGGCTTGGGGATATAGACAGAGTGAGTGGTGAGGGAGGACTTCTCAGAGGAGGCAACACTTGACCTGAGACCTGTGGGATAATAAAGAACCAGTCTTGGGGCGCCTGGGGGGCTCAGTCGGTTAGGCGTCCGACTTCGGCTCAGGTCATGACCTCCCGGTTCGTGGGTTCGAGCCGTCGGGCTCTGTGCTGACTGCCAGCTCGGAGCCTGGAGCCTGTTTCAGATTCTGTGTCTCCCTCTCTCTCTGACCCTCCCCTGCTCACGCTGTCTCTCTCAGAAATAAACAAAAGAGGAGGGAGGAAGGAAGGGAGGGAGGAAGGACCAGTCTTACAGCCACTGGGTAAGGCACCCTGAGCGGACGGCCTGCCCAGTGCAAGGAGCCCTGAGGCAAGGCGAGGTGCGGGGCTGCGGCGGGTGGATAACAGGTGGATCCAGGCACGGAGGGGCTCAAGGCGGGATCAGGAGACCAGGCGCCTGGTCAGTCAAGGTCGCGGCCGGGTGCGCGGTGGGGAGTCCGCTCCGACGGGACAGCAGCTCCCGGCGGGTTTAGGTCGCGGACATGCTGTGACCTGACCCGCCTGCCGAATGCAGAGCTCCTGCCTCTGAGCGAGACTACAAGGAACCTTCCAGACCATCTTACCGGGGGGCACAGGTAGCGGATTGGGCGGGTCCCGTGCACATCACACAGCACGCTGGCGGCCAGGGCGCGGAGGCCCTGAGAGGTAACGGGGTGGTGGGCGCTCGGCCTCAGTGCTGAGAAGGGGCCACGGGGACCCGGAAGGGCCGGCGGGGGTCCTCGAGCGAGGTCAGGCTCGTGCGCCGGCGGTGAAGCCAGCCCGGCCCGGAGCAGCGGGCAGGCCGGTCGCCTGGCGTGCGCGGGAAGCTTGGGGCCGCTTTCAAACACCAGGCCCTGGATCCCCCCCCGGCCTTCGGGGGGATGGGGTTCGTTTACTGATTTTTATTTCAGCCCTGGTTGAGGGTCTCGGTCATGAGGCCTTGCAGGTCAAAGCAGGAAACCTAGGCTTTATTCTAATTGCAAGAGGAAGCCACTGAAGTGCAGTAAACCAAGGGGGTACTGTGATCAGCTCCCATCCGCCTCCTCTGAGAGGCCTTCTGGGCTTTCCCCGGCTCTGCGCCCCTGCTCCCCCAGGCCCAGCAGGGCGCCGCCCGCGGGCCGTCCGGCGGGTCCTCCCGCCCGGCTGCCGCCGGCTGAGTGTCCCCCGGGGTCCGGCCCGGGGGAAGCCCTCCCGGCGAGGGGCGGCCAGGGGCGCGCACGTGCCGGCTCCCGCGCGCGGCCTCGGCGGCGAGGACCCGGAGAAGCGGCCAATAGAAACACGGCCCGGACGCTCGGCTGCCGCCGGCCAATCGCCTCTCGGAACGTGTGGCCGCGGGTCCCAGGGCGGTGGCCGCGGGGGAGCTGGCTGCGCCCCGAGCTCCGGGCCCGGCCTGTGTGCTGTCGACCCCGGGCCCTGCCGGCTGCCCAGCGGAGCCCCCACGCCCTGGGGGCGCGGACCCAGCTGGCCGAGGAGCGCCCCCACCCCTTCCCCGGCTCCGTGTGCGCTGCCCGCTCCCAACAGCTGCCTCAGCGCGCTGCCCTGTCTGCGGCGCCCCGAATTCTGCCAGGGCCCCAGCAGCACCCCCAGCCACGCCTGACCCCCGAGAAGTGCCCCTCTCAGCAAGGGCCGCGCCCTCGGTATCAGCACAGGGAATGATGGGGCAGAGTGTCATTTTGGGTGGGGGGTAATGATGTCAAGCAACGTCTGGCTTCAGGGCCCATGTTCTGAGGTCTCTCAGGGAGCCATGGAGATTACTGACGGCTGAGAGCTCCCCACGAACCCGTGTGACCCAGAGTGGAGTCCCTTCCTGCCCCGCCTCGGTTTCCCCAGTCATACAAGGAGAGCTGAGAACCCCACCAGGCCTGACAGTGGGGTCTCTTGCCACAGCTTCTGTGCACAGTGCTCCCTACTCACGCCTCGCCCATTAAGGGACTTACTCTGGCCCCCCTTACATGACCCCTTTATGCGTATAAGGCGGCCCTCGGTGGCCCTCAGTGGCTGGAGATTTCGAGCACTCACCCAGGAGGCCTGCCGGCCACGTGTCCCGTTGGGGCCTCGGCCACCCTGCCCACCCGCATCACTGATTCCACACAGTGCTGGCTGCTGCAGGCAGAGGGCCTGAGGTGGACATGATGGAGCCAGGGCAGTGGAGGGGGTGCAGCTGTGGCCTGGATGGCCACAGAGGGTGCAGCTGTGACCTGTGGGGGATGAGTCACGGGAAGTAGATTTTGATCTTTAGTTATGACAGACCTTTCCCATTTTTGAGCACCTTAGACTCATCAGGTAGTGAGCTCCCTGTTCTTGGAGGTATCCCAGCAGATTCCAGATGGTCACAAAGAATGATGCAGATGGAGCGATGCATCACAGGGGTGTGGTGTGGCGGGATGATTCCGGCAAGCCCCTCAGCCTGAGCTGGGAGCATGTCCCGACAGCCGGCCCGGAAGGTAAAGCAGCTCCCGCCTCTGCAGGTGGGCAGCAGCTAGTCCTCCTACTGACGCAGAGCCCCCACGAGTGTTCTCGGAGCAACACCGGCCCGCTGCTTCCTACGCATGAAGGCTTGATGCTCGAGGGTAGAGAAACCCACTCGCCCTCCTGGCGTCCAGACCAGGCGCCCGCCGGGCTTCAGATGCTAAATGTCGGCACCTGTCCTCCCAGAACGTGCTGTTCCTGTAACAGTAGCGGTAACGGTTCAGGAGAACCTGTGCGCCTTGGAGCCCCTGTCCACTCGCAAAGGAAACTCTACTCGCAAAGTAGAGAACAGTGATGGTTCATTGGTAGCGCCAAACCGTGATTATTTTACTTGGTGTTAATACTTTTTTTTATTATTATTATTTATTTTTGAAGGAGAGACAGAGAGCAAGCAGGGGAGGGGCAGAGAGGGAGACACAGAATCCGAAGCAGCTCCAGGCTCTGAGCTGTCAGCACAGAGCCCGACGCGGGGCTCGAACTCAGACTGTGAGATCATGACCTGAGCTGAAGCTGGACACTCAACCGACAGAGCCCCCCAGGCGCCCTGGTGTTAATTTTAAAAGTGGGTCAGTTGCAGCTCATTTCTGCTGCGTGCAGGGGAATGTGTCTTGTGGGAGCATCAGGACAGAGAAGGAGCCCCTGCTGTGGTTTCTACCTGGCTTCCTGCTGCCCGGGGGCCCAGGCAACCCCGGGCCCCACCTTGGGAGCTAACATGCAATACAGGATACTGTCCCAAGGGAATGTGAGACTGGGAGCCACAAGTGCTCTAAACCAGAAATAATAGCTTATTACATAGAGCTTGAGAGCAACGGTCATTTCTACCATCATTCTGTTTAAAGGATACGGTAGGTAGTTACACACTTCAGTCCATAAATACCATACTGTGGACACCAAGCAAGCTGTGGGAGGGAGAGACATACCACTTGGAGTCAGCTTGGTCAGAAGCCCCCTGCTGTGTGACCCTGACCAAGTCACATTCCCTCTCTTAGCCCATTTCTTACTCCATAAACTGAAGAAGTTAATAATTCAGTGATTAATGTATTCTCCCTCTGTGTTCTTTTCTAATTGCTCTTCACATGCAAACTGTCTTTAGGGTCATTTCTTGCCACAAAGCAGAGAGCCAGGAGCGCCTGGGAGGCTCAGTCAGTTAAATGTCCGATATTTGGTTTCAGCTCAGGTCATGATCTCATGGTTCATGAGACCAAGCCTCACGTCGGGCTCTGTGCTGAAGACGTGAAGCCTGCTTGGGAGTCTCTCTCTCCCTCTCTCTACCCGTCCCCGAGTTCGCTCTTTCTCTCTCTCTCTCTCAAGTGAATAGACATTAAAAAACAAGCAGAGACCCTACACGTTACCACAGTTCACTTGACTCATAGTTCTTGTGAACTGTTTCCTTTATGGAAGCCAGGGCGACTTTTACTGGCTCTTGTCACAGAGGTCGGGTCACTCGCCCACAACCTGCCTGTGGCCCTCACGGAGCAGGTGACAGTCACAGCCTGAGCCCAGCGTGGAGCCGGCACTCACGAGGCTTCTCCGGGAACAGCCTTGTACGTGGAAATGGGACCCAGGTGTGGCTCAGAAAGCCAGCCACCTGCCACGCGGCAGGGACCCGCGCCCGGGGCGCAGGGGACAGTGAGGCGGGAGGCTCAGCCACGGCCACTCTGGGAAGCGAATGGACGCAGATGGGAGGGGCACGCGGGACCCCGAGGAAAGAGCAAACCGGAGGCTGTGGAGCGGCAGTGAGCTCGCGGGGCCTGGACGCTCGCCGAGGACGCAGATAACGGGCCTGAGAGGATGGCGGGTGGGAACTCACATCCCAGACACAGGTTTCTGCTGAACAGGTCCTGTTTCTGTGCGAATGGAGGCCTGGCCGACCGCGTGTCAGATGGGGGGGTTCATGCCTGAGTGGCCACAGGCACATCTGATGTCTCCATCCTGGTTTGTGCACGTCCCCCCAGTGGCATGTAGGGGAGAGGTTGAGGGGACCCTCGGACTTCTGGAGCCCAAGGAGGCAAAGGTATGAAGCCATCAACTCAGTGCCCGGCGCAGGGGAGGGGTTGGCGCGGGGGAGGGGTGGCTAGAGGAGGCCCTCGGCCTTGCGCAGGTGGCCCGCTGCCCCGTGGCCTCTGCCGAATCCCCCCCACGCTGCCCTGCACCCTAACCTCCAGCCGCACTTCCCAACTGGTCTGGGGGTCCCCCGGACCCTGACACCTTGTCGTTCTCCCTCAGGATGGGGTGGGGGGCGCGGAGCCCCCTCCCGCCACCTTCACAGAGGCTTCCAGCTGCTGGGATCCCCGTCAGAAGTGTCCGAGGCCTTGCGGCAACGCCGGCCCACGGCCTGCAGACGCTTCCGGGCCCCTCTCGTGTCCTGAGCTCTGCCTCTGTTTTGGCTCTTGGTGGCCTGGGCTGCCAGCGCCCCTGCTGCACTCTGGCTGCCCTGGGGGACAAGGACCAGGCCTGCAGGCTCCTAAACCCACCCCCCCCACGGCTCCGCCCTCGGAGGACAGCACACGGAGGGCTGAGTACATTTTTCTTTCGTCCTCGCGGTT